TCAGAGCTAATAGGGTAGCTAATAGCTCCAGGTAGTTGATGTGGAGCTTGCATTGTGCTGGCACCCCTCTCACTGCTGCGCCCTCGCACAGAGCCCCCCAACCCCTCAGGGATGCGTCTGGGGATACCACCTTGTGAAAAGACACCCCCCCTATCGGAGATCCCTGTTGTAGAAAACTGGGTTCTCTCCACAGGAGAGGAGCCGACATGCAAGACAGAGTTATCGTCAGCCTCCTCTGGAGGTGACGCTGCACGCACAGCTGGTGAGACTGAGTCCAGCGTCATAGAGGCCATCATGCCTGTCAGTTGTAAAATTGCCTGAAAACACAGTTTGCGTCCCAACTGAAATTGTGCAAGGCAGCGGCGAAACACAGCCACCCTGCATTCGTGACGTGCTCGGCTTGAAACGGAGCATATTTCCAGCCCAAGAAATGATACCTGTTGACTCGGAGTCAGTGAACTTTTCTGTAAATTTACCGAAAAGCCCAGTGTTTGGATGCGCGTTAGGGTCAATGACAGCTGAGCCGCTGCTCGCACTCTGGAGCTCGCAATTAGCACCCAATCGTCCAGATAAGCTAAGATGCGAACACCTTTCTCTCGTAATGGAGCCAAACGGCAGCACCAGGTATTCATAGGCGATGCGCTCGAATGCAAACCTTAGGAACTGCCTGTGGTCCGGATGAATCACTCCATGAAAGTAAGCATCTGTCAGATTGATAGTTGTAAACCAGTCTCCCGCTCTGATTGCACCCAGTAGCTGTCTGAGTGTTAGCATCTTGAACCTGTAAGTTCATAGGTATTTGTTGAACACTCACAAGTCTAGAATGGGACGGAGTCCTCCTCTTTTTTCGGAACAACTAAATAGTGGCTGTACCAACCTTTGTTCGTTTCCAGAGCGAGAACAACTCGTATCGCTCTCTTGTTCAACAAGTTGTTTATTTTTTCCCTCAGAACTGCTGCTGCTTCTTCTGCTACAACTGTTTTTAATACAGAGTGGAAGCGAGGCGGCCGGGCCCTGAACTCTAAGCGGTAGCCCATGGTAACGGTTCTCTCTACCCATTGTGAGACTGCGCATGCCGCCACCAAGGGTCAGTCGACTGACCTTCAGCACTGTGGGGGAGGGTTGTCACCCTCTGGCATGCCGGCTGGAAACAGCAACACTTTCCCATCCAGACTTGATGGATTTATGATGTTTTGAGAACAAAATGAAACCTTTATTTGACTGAACGACGCACATTTTTAACATTCACACAGTGAACAACAGGCACCATTATTGTGGTGTGTGTGTGAGGGAGAGTTGTGCTTGGGAGACTGTGTTAGGGGAGTACAGCACCTCTTGGGACCGGACCCCTGAACAAACTTTAAACGCAGCATCTTTGGCGGCAAAAACTGAAGGGCCGCAGTGTCTCCGTGCTGCTGTGACCCCTCTCAAGTCGATCCCGAAGCTAGGATGACTGCTGCTTCTTCCCCCTGGGTCCTGAGCCCCTCAGGAGGCTTGTTCCAAGTCGAGAGTCATAGGTTCTGACTAGGTACATGCTGCTTCACTGGCTGGGGCCCCAAACTAGCGGGCGCCGCAGTCCTCTTGGGAGGAGGCGCGGGTGCTGGTTTGTGCAGATTACCCTGTTGTTTGGGCCTTGCACATGCCTGGGGATGCTGCTGCTCAAAGCTTTAGTTTGTTTCTTCCTCAGCTCAAACTTAGCCTGAATGGCGCCGAGGGACTGCCCGAACAAACTGCCGACAAAGGCTTGTTTAGATAGACCGGTCTGTCCCTCTCCAGGACATTGGAGAGAGTCAGCCACAGGTGCCTTTGCGCCACCACTGTGGAAGCCATTCCTCTACCCAGAGAGAGTGCTCCACAGTGGGACACACAGAGAATGTAATCTGTGGCGACTCTGACTATGTTTAGGAGAGGAGAAAGCGGATAGTCAGGAGGCACACGCGAGCTGAGTTCTGCCAGACACATAGCCTGATATGTCTGAAGCATGGTGACGGAGCTCAGCGCACGAGCCGTGCTTGCCTGTGTCCATAAATCTTATCCAGCTGTGATGCTGAAAACCTGCAGTGCTTGGACGGGAGCGTGATGGGGCCACCGACACCATAATTTTGGGCCGGGGCCAGATAGGCTGCCAGGGACACCTTCATAGGTGGAGGGTTCACCAAACCAGCTTTCTCAGCTCCATCCAGGTCCAGAAACTGTCCATAACCAGGCATTGTGGTGCAGGTGGACAGCAGCTTGTTCCATGTTGAGGTTAGTTCCGAGACAAAATCCGGGAACATGGGCAAACTGTTCTTAACAGTTGTTGGTTCGGGTGGGAGAAAAAACCCTGAGAACCGCAACGGTTTTTGAGCCGGTGGAGGAGAGGGCCATTCTACTTCCAGTTTCTCAGCTACACAGTGGTACAGTGAGAGAAAGGATGTGTCGTCCGGGTCAACCAGCACAGCAGCGGTGGCATACTGACCAGAAGACAACAGCTCCTGCTCATCCTCCGAGAAGCGTTGCACGTCCAGGCCAATGTCCAGCACATCATCACCTCCTTGTAACAGGCTAGCCTGGATAGCGTCAGCACACTCCACTTTGTCTGCCCAGTTTCCAACTGAGCCTTCGATTAGGAATTTCTCACCACCGGACTCAGACAAAGCAGGGTCCCTGGACTGGGAGAGGAGGGGTTCGTGCAGCGCAATAGCGGTCTTTCCTGATAGTCTCTCCACAAACTTGACTCGCCTTTCAACGATTGAGCTCCAAAGCCGGTGACAGGACTCACACGACACGGGCTCAGTCCAAGCCCTCCCGGCATGGGCAATCCTCAGGCAAACAGGGCAAGCCTGATAGAGATCTTTCTCGTGAAGGGAGAATCCCCACCCCTGAGGACAGAAGACTTTGCCTTCACTTTCATGGGCTCAGCACTCATAACAAGACACAGAAGCCGAATGAAATTAGTGCTCCGCGGGTAGCCACAGGTTAACACCAACAGGGGCAGTTAAGGTAAAATCAATAAGGCAGTAGCCACAGACAAGACCAGGCTAAGCTAGCAGCAGCTAGTTGGCCCGACTCGGTGTAGGTGTTCTCAGCGAGGTGAAGAGCATAAGAATTAAAGGATTACTGTGGTGTTACATGTATATATGTGCAGGCGGAGCCTCCCAGACGTCACCACAGATCATCTGCCATAAAGGCGTGAATAAAGGTGTCTTGAGTCAGGCCATGCGGGGGCGTGATATCCCATACTATATGTGTTGTACTGAGTGAATCAACTGAAAGGCAACATCTGTTCAGCCACCTCAGCAGCAGCAGGACAGGGAGAGGACACAGAGACATGTCCAGGTCGAGCTGCGCGAGAAATAAGAGGAAGAGGAAGATAGAAATAGGGGAGAGATGAATTAAATTCGCTTCATCACTTCACTTCACTTCATCATGTGTGTCTATTTACAAGATATTTAATTTAGTTTATTTAATGTGGTTTCAGCTGTGTTAATTCGGTCAGGTTGAGTGTCTAAACGCGTGCAGAACGCGCTCATCAGATCAGATATAGGTCAGAATATATCTATAGATCTAAATGTATTTGCTGACTCAGAATATTGGTCGTTGTAGATTATTCATTGCACTGAAATGTGCCTGACACTGTGGAAACCTGCCGGTGAGGCATCGGTGATGTATGCGCAATACCACTAGACCAGCTGTGCTCCGCCTGCGCTGAAAGCTGACCAGGTTTGAATCGGCGAGCTTTCAGCGCACTTTCTACGCCGCCAGCAGGCATGAAAATGGCAGCTGCTTCTGTCAACACCTCCCCCTGCTGCGCCACCACGCCATGCTTGGCGGACCTCGGTGTGCCTCAACAGATGAAAATACCACTGCACGGGGTCTGCAACGCCGCCAACGGGCTTGAAAATAGAGCCCATAGACTGTACATAAAATGGATGCCGTCTGCCCCCTTGTTGGGTGGAGCCACCCCAAGAACAGCCCCCTCTGGTGATGAGCTGCAGCATTGGTCATAAATCACACCTCCTCCAGCAATCCCTATGGAGCTGTGGACAATCTTTAGAAATTAATTACACGCTTGTGATGTTGAGATGTAATTATTGTAAGACTGGTTTGTACTGAAGTCCTCTGTTTTCTGTACAGCTCCATTTTTAAAAGTTTTTTGGGGGTTCATGTTTTCTATGATTGACACTTGATACAGCCTATGGGCATACGAAGATAGTGTAGCTCACCGGGGTATACGCTGTTTGAGCCGAGCGTCATCATAGCAACTCTTGGCAAGTCTCCCGTCGTATGCGTACAATGCTACTGCGCAATGTTGGTTTCAGGAAGTGGAGAAAATCCCAGAAATACAGAGAGCTTTTTGGCTTCAAATCCGTATTGTAGGGGAAGGGCGGAGCCAAGTTGTCCATTGTATATACAGTCTATGGTTCAACAGCATCGCTCAGCCTTAATTATCATTGAGGGACAACCACAGAAAACTACAAAAGAAAGAGCTGCATCAGTGTTTCCATCATCCATGTGTCCTAAGTCAGTCGTGAATTCGCTTAAAATTTCTTTGAATACAGCTCGTTTTTGTTATCAGAATCAAAGTTCATATGACCCTTCAAATGAGTTGGATTTAACAAAATCATAACCTGCAGGGAGAGCTAGATTTAAATGTAAGCAGTGAAGATGTGAGGCCAAAGGAGCAGCATGAGTGTCTAAAAATACTTTAAATGTTCCAGCGAACTACAGCAACTTCATCTGAAAAACAGGGAGTTAGCTCACAGGCATCAGCATCCTGACAGCCCCCCCCCCCCCCACACACACACACACACACACACACAGACACACTGTAACACTCCTGAAATGTCAGTGTATGCAAATGATTGACCATTTACCTGCCTGTTCCCACACCCTTCATCCACTTTAAACTCTCACACCTCTGAAACAGCAGGACTAATGTTCCTGCAGTTTACCCTGACACCTGCTCTTCACATGACTGACTGGTGAAAGACCTCACAGCTGAGAAAGAGAGAGAGAGATTTTTTTTATTTTTGAATCTACTTTATTTGTCGCTCTTTTTTCAAAAAAGATGTCAATTCAAGCAATCACACACAGTCAAAAAATTAATAAATAAATAAAAATTTACATGCACACATCTTCAAACTGTAAAATATTTCCTGCTATTGAGCACAACACCTGATTAAAACCCCAAACCGCCTGGAATGATGCCAGATCTCCTCCTGCTTTGTAGAAATTAAAATCAATGAGGAGTCTGGACTTGATCATATTTTTACAGACAGTGACCAGGGGTCCGTTTCACGTAGGTGGTTCAACAAACTCTGAGTTAAATCCTTAACTCTGAGTTGATCTACTCTGAGTTAGGAAACTCTGAGTTTCCGGTTTCACAACACCTGATTTGAGACGGTTTTAACAACTCCGAGTAGTTTGACCTGGAGTTAAGCACGTGCACGCCAGACATAAACAGCCAGCATCTGTGGAGCGCAGATTCAATGATCAACCAATGGAAACAGGGAGAAGGAGGGGGCAGCAGCAAGCCAACAGCAAATTACAGCACGTTTTTAAAAGAAAGTGCAATACAGCAGCAGCTGCAAAGGAGAGGGAGAGGGCTTGGGAGGAAATCGCTGCTCGTGTCAATGCGTAACTTTAAATCTAGTCTCGTGCAATCACAATGACAGACTGTTGCAGGGAAACTGCTTGAATCATTTTGATCATGTTTTACATTGTCAAGTAAGTATTAAGTGGCAGTTTGATCCCTTAGAAAATGCTCTTTTCACACTCAAAAATGAATTTTACTCTCTTATGATGTTCCGTTAAATGATTAGGAATATTAAACTAACTCTCAGTATGTATATGTACATATATTAAACTAACACACACTACACTCAATATTAGACTTTCACTCAGCAAACAGAAAGAGGGCAGATGCCAGAAAAACGGGTGGTGGCCCAGCAGCCCCACCTTTAACGGAGGCAGAGGAGCTGCCCCCCCCCCCCGACGATCGCAACCCCCACCCCGTAGCAGCGATCGCCGGACTGGTGTGCGTGTGTGTGTGTGTGTGTCTGTGGGGGGGGGGATTTGCGATTGGACCGGCCGCGATCGTCGAACGGGGGGGGGGGGGGGGGGGGGGGCAGCTCCTCTGCCTCCGTTAAAGGTGGGGCTGCTGGGCCACCATCCGTTTGTGTTTGTTTAATATTCCTAATCATTTAACGGAACATAATAAGAGAGTAAAATTCAGTTTTGAGTGTGAAAAGAGCATTTTTTAAGGGATCAAACTGCCACTTAATACTTACTTGACAATGTAAAACATGATCAAAATGAGAAAATGCCGATGTCTCACCTGAAACTCTGGGTTTACTGAGTTAAACCTGCTCCCGAGCAGGTTAGGTTCACGGAGTCTGTTACTGTGGTAACTGACCGCGAGGTTGAGTTACCTCTCTTTGTGAAACAGGTTAGAGTTACCCCTCTCTCCCTGGTTTAACTAACCCTCCTTTGTGAAACGGAAAACTCAGAGTTTCCCTGATTTCAGGGTTAACAAACTCGGAGTTTCCATTAAACCTGCTACGTGAAACGGACCCCAGATCAACAATAAAACCATCCTCCACCTTCCTCCTGTGACTAAAATACACTGCCATCTTGGCCTGCCCTAAAACAAAGTTTAAAAGCTGGCACTTGTTCTTGTGTTGGCATATGTATTTAAAACCCAGAATAAAATCCTGCTTGTTAAAAACTTCTCCACACTTGGTAAAAACAGTTTGTAAAAACAGAAAAAAAGGTAAAAGACGCAGACATTCATAAAAACAGTGAAAAATTGTCTCTCTCTGGGGGCAGTAGGGACATGTGTCCTCTACTGCCGGGTTAATTTGTGATATAAAAGAGTTCACTGCTATGGCCCCATGGAGGACTCTCCAGTGCACATTATTGTGTCTTTTTGAGAGTGGAGGTTTGTAGAAGGCCCTCCACTCAGGCCTGGCCTCAGGAGCCAGGCGCAGATAGTTCCGCCATGGGGTGTCAGGTCTTTTGTCCAGTTTGTTGTTTTTACCATGATTTTATAAAAGGTTTTTCCTGGTGTGCCCTCCAAAGGGGCGGGGTGGTTAAAATCCAACAGCGGGCCAGAACAGTCTTTAAAATCCGGTGCCAGGAAGATGGCAGGAAAGGGGTCTTCTTCAGTTATTGTCCGGGTAAAAGGGGAGTTTAAAAGCAGGCAGTCGTGTCCTGTGAGTCTCTGTCTCCAGTGCTCTACGAGTTTTTGGGTGACCCTCATCGATAAAAGTCCCAGCCGGGCAGCGAGTCCAGAGGGGTCATCCATCCGGGGTCCCATCAGCTCCACCACCTGCCCCAGAGTGACGATCCCCGCCGTCTGCAGTCTTTTCTCCAGACAGGTCCCCCATAGGACCGGTTCCTGCAGGAGCCAGTAGATGGAGTCCACCTGGCCCCTCCTCTCCTTCCTCAGCAGGCCCCAGACCTTAAAAACACATTGATAAAAAGAAGGCAGAGAAGATGTGCTCATGTTCTGTGTGTTCATTAAAAACAAATTAAAATCCTGACCCAGGCTGTTAAAACCCTGCAGAATGCAGCGGGCCAGGGGCCTCCACAGAGTGGCCTTTGGCCCCGTCAGCAGCCTTTGGATGAACTGGAGCCTGAAGGCTGCGCCCCTGCTGGCCAGGTGGACCAGGCCCTGGCCCCCCTCCTCTTTTGGTAAAAACAGGACACTCTGTGGGACCCAGTGGAGTCTGTCCCAAATAAAATCAACTAAAAACGACTGAATCTTGGGAAGGAGAGAAGCTGGAGGATCGACACAGGCCAGCCGGTGCCACAGGGAAGATGAGACCAGATTATTTGCGATTAAGGTTCGGCCTCCGTACGACATTTTAGGGAGCAGCCACCTCCACTTCTCCAGCCGACCTTTAACCTGCTCCAGGACATTGTCTCAGTTTTTCTGTATGTAGGTCTCATCTCCTAGGAAGACCCCAAGCTACCGGAGTCCTCCTTTTTTCCACTGCAGGCCACCGGGCAGCCTGAGCCGGCCCCCCAGCTCCCCTCCAGCCATCAGAGCCTCGCTTTTCCCCCAGTTCACCTTAGCTGAGGAGATCAAACCAAAGTCATGAACAGTGTCAGTTAAAATGTCAATGTCTCTTTGTGTTTTAACTAAAACAATAAGATCGTCAGCGTATACAGACAGTTTAAAAGACACAGGGCACCGGGGGAAACACACACCACTTAGTTTGTCTCTCAGCCTGTGAAGCAGAGGCTCGATGGCAACTGAATACAACATCCCAGAGAGAGAGCAGCCCTGCCTCACCCCTCTCTGGATCTCAAATGGTGCACTCAGCCAGCCGTTAATTTTCAGAACACTCGCAATGTCACTATAGAGAACCCGGACCATGGCTATGAACCCAGGGTTGAACCCAAAGGCAGCCAGAGTCTGCCACAGGTACTGGTGTTCAACCCAGTCAAAAGCCTTTTCCTGATCTATGGAATGTGGCAAGGGGTGCTATTTTGTTCACAATTAGATGATATTGTCTCCAACCAGCAACGCCACCTGGGGACTTACACCCCAGGAAACTGCACTTTCAGACTAAAATCATAACAGGAAGCTAAAATAAGAATAAGGCAACACAGGTAAATTCTGAAAGAGGCAGAGACAGAGTTCAAAATATTTCAAAATGTTTATTAGATCAAAAATGAAGTTAAACTTAAATATAACAGAAATTTAACCTAGGAGGGAAAGAAAGGGATAAAGTTAAAACAACATAACAAAACACAGATAAGGGTCAAGAAAGTTAATTTTATTTCTATAATAATTTAAAACAAGGCCTTCTGCAAAAGTTAAAAACAGTTAAAATGTACAATAAACCCAACTTAAACTAAATCAAAGAAACCCAAACTAAATTAACTTAAAATAAGCTGAGGCCACCAGAAGGGAGGCAGACTACAGAGGGAAAGTGCAGGGGAGTGCTCCCTTATACTCACCAAGTGAAGCATAGCACACACACACTTCAAACCTTCAAAAAAGAAACAAATTGGTGTAGTCTTGTGACCACGTGTCAAACTCATGCAAAGGTGGAGGGCCCTCACCCGGGGTGCCTAGCCTCCCAAACTAGTGGGCTCAACTTCTGAAATAAAATAAAAGGATTAACCACAGAAACAAACAAACCAGCAACAGCGAACCCAGTTGGTAAAACTAGAATCACTAAGGAGAAAAGCAACTAAGGGTAACTAAGAACAGAATGCAAACTAATGGGGGAGTAACTGGGTAAAACAACCAAACTTAGAGGTAGAAACAAACCAAGTAAGGGGGGAAACCAATCAAAAGGGCAAAAATGACAGTTAATGGGGGAAACAAAACAGCAGCAGGTCTACCACCAGCATTCCGAGCAGAGCAGAAGGCCGACTGCAGGTGAGCTGCTGCCTTTTATTCAGCTAACCTGATTAGGGGAAAGGAGGGGTTAGAGGAGGAGGGAGAGCTGCATTCAACAGCAGCAAGGTGCTGCCTGCCACATATGGAAATAAGACCAGTCTCTATACCCAATGAACTGGAGAGCTCCAAAACGTCTCGAATTAGAGTGACGTTGTCACTGGTGAGCCGGCCAGGCACACAGTAGGTCTGGTCAGGGTGGATGATGGACGCCATCACCTCCCTCAGTCTGAGGGTCAGAGCCTTGGACAGGATCTTATAATCCGTGCACAGCAGGGAGACTGGCCTCCAGTTTTTCAGCTCCTGCAGGTCTCCCTTCTTGGGCAGCAGGGTGATGATGGCCCTCCTGCAGCTCAGAGGCAGCCTGCCGGTCCTCAAACTGTCGATCATGACCTCTAGCAGGTCTGGTCCTATGATGGACTAGAGGGACTTGTAAAAGTCAGCAGGAAGGCCGTCTATGCCTGGAGCTCTGCCACTCTGCAGGCTCATGGTGGCTGCGTGGAGCTCCTGCAGCGTCACCTCTGCTGCCAGTCTGCTGTTGTCAGCCTCGTTGACCTGAGGGAGACCCGCCAGGAAGTTGCTGTGCTCTTCTGGATTATGCGTCCACTCACTCTTAAAGAGGTTTCTGTAGTAGTTGGCAGCAAAATTCCTGATCTCAGACGAGTCTGAGACTTCGGAGCTGCTACCCGTCCATAAACAGTGAATGGTCTTCCTTTGTCCATTTTTACGCTCCAACCCAAAAAAGAAGCGTACTGACCACCTCTCCTACAGCCAGGCTGGCTTCCTCCACCAAGCACTGCACCGCGGGGTGAATTTTGATCGCATGACGGCGAGTCAGTTTTTCAAATTCTGCTGCTGCAGCCTCAGCCACCGGCATTGTGCTGTTAACACGCCGCCCACCAAACGAAAGCACCCACACACTCACACACGCAAAAAAACACAGCCCTCTAAACACCAAACGATAAATAAACAACTCATACACACACTCACACCTAAAGAAAAGAGAAATAAATTCTCAAAACTCACAGAAAGTTGAATCGAAAAGTGATTCGCTCTCAGCTCTCACACGCCATCTCACTCAGAGAGAGAGAAAGAGAGAGACAGAGAGAGAGAGAGAGAGAGAGAGAGAGAGAGTGTGTGTGTGTGTGTGCAGAGTCCATAATTCAGCAGTCTTAAATTAATTTGCCATCTAGCAGTCATGAAATGTTGAAACAGGGAGAGTCTGGAGAACCAATCAGTGTCACGAGCAGACAATTGCTAAATGTAAATACTGGACACTTGACTGCTGCTGCTGCTGCTGCTGTGTGTGTGTGTGTGTGTGTGTGTGTGTGTGTGTGTGTGTGTGTGTGTGTGTGTGTGTGTGTGTGTGTGTGCGTGTGTTGCTGCTTCTATAGCCCCTGTACAACACTGACATCATGTGGAAGATCACCAAAAGAGAGCCTATATCCGTTTCTTTGTGCCGCACCATGTTGTTCATGTTTGCGTTGAACTAAAAAAACAAACACCAACAAAAAACAGCTCAATCTTAAGATAGTCATGGATTATTCAAAGTAGGTCAGTGTTTTTTCCAGTGAAATGCCTTCTCTCACGTGCACCCAGATTTGACAGAAAATTCCTGTGCTGCAAATAGCAAATATTATCAGTCATCATTCTCACTGACTGAGGCTCATGTGACCATTCACAACGATTTTGAGGCACAGAAAATATGTTCCATTCTCTTTCTGTTGAGTCATGATCTGCTGTTTCCGACCTGCAGGACAAGTTTTTCAGCATGCCAGTTTTAGGTGACTTACGGGTAAATGCTGCCCCTTTAATATGTTTTCAGGGTAAGAAGTCAATAACCTGATAATTGTACAACAAGGATTAACATGTAAACAGGTCAGTTACACATCATTCATGTCAATAACCAGATAACTCAGGCAAATGTATCTGCTCATTCATGAAACAAAGACAACACTTGACTAATGGGTCATTACACAGTTTAACACATTTTATGACCTCATTATTTCACAAGGCCAAACCAGGTCATGACATTCAGCTGAAGCACTGAGCATTTGAGTTTTCCTGCACATGTAAAAACTCTATCAAACGCCCAGCATATCTTTGGTGAGCAGCTCAAGCATCATAATTTTCCATTTGGCAAAGTTGAAATTTTTACACAATTGTCCAAACAGGGAGCAAACTTGCCCCCACGTAAGTGCCTGTCTCAAAATTTGATGTGGTCAGGTGGACAGTCGGCGTGTTGCTATTTCTAAAAAGTAGAAGCGTCTGTGCCATAAAACTGGTCAGAAATCTGAAGACAGTACTACAGAGATCCCCTGACAGGGTTTCTTCAAAGTTTGGAGGATTTTGCTGAGGTTTGTTGGGATGAAACAAAAGGCTCCTAAGGGTCTCTAAAAAGTTAATCTCTCTCTCTCTCTCTCTCTCTCTCTCTCTCTCTCTCTCTCTCTCTCTCTCTCTCTTTCTCGCAACACACACACCCAAAACTGGAGCTTCTAGTTTAGTGACCAAACATGTGAGTCACTGTTGAAGTCTCCAAACTATGCAGCCCTGAGACATGGCAACAGGTGCATGAGGAACCTGGCAAAATGCTACATTTGGTCTCATTTTAAACAGAGAAATTACTCCTGTCTGTCTTTTTGAAGACAATCAAACATCTGTATGAAACAGCAGTTTGAAAGTGACATGATGTTCTCTGAGCTCAGAGCCTTTTTGCACACTTTCAAATCCTGCAACATTTCCTCCTGTTAGGAAATACCTGTCCAACAAAGACAGAGGCCACGCCCATGTCTCTGAGGAAGGTAATGACAGCTTTCAGACAGAAATATTCATACATACAGGACAGACCACAGCAGATCACCTCAGGATCACCATGAGCGGGGCTTACCATAAAGGTACGACATAGTTTTAATGACATTTTATTTGAAGTCCAACAATTACTTCCCAGATTGTTGTTTTCAGAATCATGTACTGATCTCTGTCTTTTGGTGGTGCATCAAGAAGGTGTGCAGATCTTAGTCCTGTGTGAGGCTGAGTATTAATTTTATTGAGCTATATTCACATCATCAATAATGCATCATAGCACAGATGTACCTGAGCCTTACGTTAAGTCTTCCCCTGCCTTAGTCCACAACCAGCATTTTCTGTGCCACTGTGTAGCTCTTTCTAGATTTCACTGTCCTGCTAGCTGATGACATGGTTTGAATAGAAGTAAAGCTGTGCTGATATATGTTAAGTTGTTAGATAAAGATTGGCTGTGTGAGTTCTGTCATAACCAGCCCTGGGGACCATGACAAAGACACAGTAGGAGCCAGTGGTTGCAGTGACACAGTTATGGGTCTCAGTATCTGCAACCGCATTACTTTCATTAGTTGTGTGGAGACCAGGAGATCCATTTGCTAGACTCATGATCCTCTCCTTTAGCTGACCATTATTTGGCAGCAAAGTGAAAGACTGCAGCGCCATAAAATGACTTTTTATACAGGTGAATTGGACGCAGCTTACTTTTTAGATGACCAAAAAATTGATGTAAGTGTGTCTAAAACACTGAATTTTACAATATAAACTTTTGCAGTTGGATGACTTCATTGTAGTGAACGTAGTATTTTTCTTTATCCAAAATAAGCAGCAAAATGTCATGGTAACTTTCCACTTTGTAAAGGGATGAATAGCTGCAGAGTAGTGATGATTTTCAGTAGGACATAAATGTGATTTTGGCAGCAGTAGCAGTGAAGTGTTTGCAGGTATGGTCACAGTAAAGCTGTTATAGAAGCTACAGTGACAGTAATGATGTTTAAACAGCAGCAGAACTGTCTGTAATGATAGTAACTGTACAGAGTTATCATGCATGTCAGTATTTAATGATGCTATGTGCTGCACTGTGAAAGATGGAGTTTTAGGGCCACTTTATATGGAAGGATATGGGATTTGGAGATCAAAAAGAGACTTAGTCTATTATGAAAAATAACTGTCTAACAGACAGCCTGTGACCACTGTTTATCTTCTGCTGTTGAGTCAGACATCAAAAGATCATCTTGAGTCCTTGTGGACTGACCAGAGTGTGTAATTTATCTAAAATCACTGCTGCATTCTGGTTAAATTATAGCATTAGATAGCTGGCTTTAATTCCTCAGTGTTACACATGGTTGTTTTATTTTGGGGCACGCATTCATCTGAAATTTCACCTTTTAACTTGTGGTTGGAGTTTTTGTTGTTAATGTACGTGATGAGTGAAAGTTTCAAAGTTTTGTGTGATGCCTTTGTGGACCAAGCTAAAAGGAACTAGCTGTTCAAAACCCCCAAATTCTTATTTTACAATTCTATAAAAAGATTGATTCATAATTTTGTAGACTTTTCTGCTTATTTAATCAATCTGACGCCAACAATATTCTAGTTTCATCTGGTTAGCACAGTAAAAATGTGTATTGGTTGATGTTACTGAAATATTCAGATGATGTAGTGGGTGTTTCAGGCTCTCTTTGAATCACATTCATTAATTTGGTCTATTCAGGGCAAAGTGGCGATACTTAGACTTTTGACTTATGTGGCTTAACTTCAGTGTTTTCTCTTAAGATCATAATCAGAACATAGTGAAAGTTCATGTTTGTACCATTTTTAGCTTAACATTCAGAAAGAGACACCTCACAGCTCACAGTGAGACTGAACCAAGTTTATTTCTCAGGATTCACAAAATAGACAAGTTAAAAAAACGAAGAAAATCTCAGAATTATTTTGGTCGAAGAGACAAAAGAGACTTTTACAAGATCCAGTCCTAAATTTTGCCTTGTTATGGGCAAGGAACTCTAAAACTCACCAAACTGTCCTTATTTTATGACAGTCACCATCATTTCTGTATTGGAGGTGATTTTGTGATAGAAACAAAGCCCTTCTTGGCTGTCAGCACATTCACAGTCAGGCAGTAGATATTACGGCCGAGAAACTGAAAGACTCGTCTCTGTTTATTCTCATCTGCAACCAAAAGCAGTGTTAGCTTTATCACTGCAGTTAATACTCTTCACATTTGCTGAATCACTGCTCTAACAACTTTTTCTGAGTTGTTTTTAGGTCATAAATACCTGGATGGCTGCAGGGCATTAAAAACAGGACAGACAAGATCAAAAAGCAACACAGATACTTTCATTATTTACAGCATTATATAAATCTCCAGTCTCCTCTCATACTGATCCATCACACATCTGTATTTGTAATTTGATTATATTTAAGGCTTTATTAGATGGGTCCTGATAATGCTGATTCAGTCTATCATACCAGGAAAATACCACTGTGTATCACTAAATCACTGAGTTTTATAAAACTGTATTTACATGATTTAACGAATCGTACTGCGTCTTTCTTTGCATTGCCCAAAATGGACTCATCAACCACAATTTCAGCGTCATTCAATCAAAGTGACAAAGTTTGGCGCAGTGTTTCAAAGCATGATAATGTCTGGATAAGGTCCACAATGAATCTTCTGAAGCTCCAGATAAGAATTTAAAACAGACTCAGAGGTTTTTTTTTCCCCATCTGTTCAAAACCAAGTTTGTGTGCTCTGGACTTTTACTGTCACCAATTAAACATTAAATTATAAAGCAGCAGAGTGTTTATAATTCACACTGTGCTGTTTGCTGTGCTCAGTTTGTCCTCTTCTTTCCCTCTTGTTTTATTCAAATAGGTCTTACCTTTTCTTCGGATTTATTTCGACTCATTTTTGTTGAACTTCCCTCGTGCATTTGAAGCATCTTAAGAATTCCTTTCTTATCCGACATAACTTTGACCTGCCCTGCTGTTGACAGGTAAACGTTGACATCCTGAGTCTTTCCAAGCCTGTTATGTAACGAGAAAACACATAAACCAGATGAACGAAGGCTGTTAGCTCAGTTCTGTGTTGGTCTGAACGCAACTTTAATCTTTATATTCAAATGATTGAGAAGTACATTTAGGGCTGGGCAAGTATAAGTACAGCATTAATGTGGTTCACCAGGGCACACATCAGCCTCAAAATTAAAACTTAAGAACAGACAAAAGCAGAAAAAAACTTTAACTGTGACAATGGCTAAAGTAAAAATAAATAAAAAAACAAAACAGGGCGTTCCATTTTCACTCTGCGACAACTTAACTCCAGTCTGTGTTTCAGCCACGGTCTCTGATTCTGTCAGTGCAAGGACATTTTCATCAGAGAGGGAAAAACTACTTGACTTACTGAGGGTAAACCGGTCTGGCTGTCAGCTCTGTGTACTGAAACTGAAAATATGTTCAGGTGTCACTTTAGCCATGCCAATCACATATCAATGCAACATGGGACGCAAACCTAAACTCTTACCAGCAGCAGAGGGTGCTTAAGTGAAGCACAAATTACCAGTCCCAGAGAAACACTCATAAGAATGCATTATAAACAGTAATCACAACAGCAGAATTACAAATATTGGCCCTGTAACAGCAAAATATAAAGATTGATTTGAGCAGATCAACAACTTCTCAGCACAAGTAACTATCCTGTTGCTCTGTCAATACATTCCAGTAAAAATCCTCCGATAATAGTCCCCCTCCTCCACAGAATCAAGCCAGCATCAGCAGCCAGTTCAACCATCATGAAGAACAATTGTTTTATATAAAACTGTTTTAGTCTGTGTTTTCAGAAATAAATCAAATATGCCCAGCCCTACCATTACGTTAAAAAGTACATTTCTGTCTGACAGGGTACTACGGAGGAGCCTCTGATTCAGAGGAAAGGAGGATTGTTTTGGTCGGGAAGACCGGTGTGGGAAAGAGCGCTGCAGGAAACACCATCCTGGGCAGAGAGGCGTTTGAGTCCGAGCTGTCTCCGTGTTCCCAAACAGCTGAATGTCAGAAAGCTAAGGGCACCATTGATGGTCGAAAGGTTGCCATCATTGACACCCCAGGGCTGTTTGACACAAATTTCACCCAAGAAGAAGTCCTGAGGAGGATTAAAATGTGTGTTTCTCTGGCTGCCCCAGGTCCTCATGCCTTCCTGGTGGTTCTTCAGCTGGGCCGGTTTACACAGGAGGAGAAAGACACCATCAAGATGATTCAGACTACTTTTGGTGAAGACGCTGCCAGATACACAATGGTGTTGTTCACACATGGAGACCAACTGGGAAAACAAACCATTGAGGGCTACGTGGCCGAGAGCCCTGACCTGAAAGCTCTGATCAGGACATGCTACAACCGATACCATGTATTCAACAACGAAATCAAAGACCCCGTACAAACCAGCGTCCTCCTGGACAAAATTGACAAGATGGCCATGGCCAACGGAGGAAGCCACTACACGAATGAAATGTTCCTGAAAGCAGAGGAGGCCATAGAGAAGGAGAAACTGCGCCTCCTGAAGGAGATGGAGGAAGAGAGGCAGAGGGAGCTGGACGCACTAAAGGCTAAAATTGGAGCAGGATCAGTGTACCACAGGGAGGAACGGCTTGTGTACAAGAGGTACGAGTGTCATGCCAGAACACAGGCTGAGAAATCCAATGATTTTATCGCTGCTCCAGCTATACTATTATCGACGACCTGTGGTGCTGCTGTTGGAGGGCTTCTAGGTATCGCAGGAGGACCCATCGGTATTGCAGTTGGAATTGCAGCTGGAGCAGCGGTGGGAGCTGCAGTTGGAGCTATATCAGTCAGAGTCTCTGAGCGGTGCAATGTTCAGTGAGGAGAACAAACCCAGCCTGATGACTTTTGGTTTATTAATCACAAAGACAGCAAAACTTCAGTTTGAGTCTACATGTTAAGTCCCTGAGTCTTGTAAGTAAAACTACATGTCCCTCTTTAGTTTTAGTTTGATGGACTCTTGAATCTCTGAGGACATTTTGTTTTCTGCTGCAGCATCACCTGCCAACAGGTGTATAAACTTTTCTTTATCAGGCACTAACAACCCTTGTGTTTGAAAATGTGAATTAGCCATGACAAAATCTTTGACAAATTAACGTCAATGTTTGAGTTTATCATCAATACTGATACTTGTTGAGGGTCCAACAGTCCCCTTGCTGCTAAGAGTCACAGCAATCTGATCCTACTTAAAGGTTTAATCCAAATATCCCACATCCAATGGATCATGACTGCTCCCACCGTGCTGTGTTACTGCAGTAAAGTCAGGCGGCACAAAAACATTGACGTAAACTGAATTAAACAGAAGTTTAACATTGTGGTGATTGTTTTTCAAGCATCTATGTTAAAAATGTGCATGCTCTGTCCTGTCTGTACATTATTATTTGTGACTCATGCAGTGTCTTAAGACCAGTGAAAGTAAACAGATCAGTAGGACTAAGTCCTGTTGTCTGAAGTTTTTAAAGCTCTTTGTAAGTAATCTATGTTAACCTCTGAGTTGTTTTTACATCCTAATTAGAGTGTTTCTTAATCCTTTCATGATAACTGAATTAATCTCTACCTAGTTAATTTGTCACCTTCTACATCTGTAAGTGTTAATGTGTATTTATAAATGTGAAATACGACTAAACAAAATTTAAAAAAGCTAATCATGATGACATATGACTTTTTATTGGTGTTGCATATGAATTAATATTAAACTGTACAGTTTATTGTAATAAACGTTAAAAGGTCTTTAATAACCTTAAATGCTGGGTGAAAATGAATACATTAAAATCAAAAAGTTTACATGTTTTCATTATTCTATGGAGCAGGTCAGGTTGTCAGCTGAAGTCTGTAACTCCTGTAACTCACCAGTAGCAAAGAAAACGTTCGTTTGGCCGTTTGCAACCTGGAAATTATAACAATGAGGTACAACAAGAACATGAATTTTTAAAATTCTAGTGACATGCTGATATTCAACAAAAATCCCACCAGGACAGAGTCGCTGTGATGATGTTCGGCTCAAACAGCATATTCCCTGGGTGAGCTACACAATCTTCATACACCCATAGGCTGTATCAAGTGTCAATCACAGAAAACTTAAACCCCCTAATAACTTTAAAAAATGGAGCTGCACAGAAAAAAGAGGACTTGAGCACAAACCAGTGTTACAGTATCTATATTTCAACAACGCAATCAGGGGGGACAAAAATATATATTCTGTGAAATCAATTTCTAAAGTTTGTCCACAGCTCCATAGGGATTGCTGGAGGAGGCAGGATTTATGACCTATACTGCAGCCTGTCACCAGAGGGTGCTGTTCTCGTGATAGCTTCACCCAGCGAGGAGGCAAACAGCGTCCATTATACATAAAGTCTATGGTTAAGTCTCAAGAGATCTTTCCTTACAGGGTTACTGGTTTAGGTTTGTCAGATTTAGTGATACTTAAAGTTTTTGAATAGAATCCCACTTCTACTTTAACAGACAACTTTTGTGTTTTTGAAATTAGTTTTCAACGAGGTCAAAGATCATAAACTGACATCAGTAGTAATGTCTAACAAGTGAATGTGCCAGAAGTAGAAATACAGAATAGTTATGTTATCCGTCTCTGGCAGATTGATAGCAAACAAATTGATAATTCAGAGAAATGGACTGTAAGCTGAGTTGTTGTATTAAAGGTAAAGGTAGATTTTCTTTGTTCAAATCGGGATTTGAAGATAGATCAGGATGAGTTGGGTTGTTGCACTTACATTTTCTGTGGACACGGATGAATGCTGCACTTAAAAGTCATAAATTTGTAAAGTTTTATCAAAGAGAGATCCCATCGCTCACTACAGAGTGTTTCATGTTCACAGGAACTCGCCGGCAGAAGATGAGCAATGCTCTCCGGATCATCCTGTTGGGAAAGACGGGAGCGGGGAAAAGTGCCACAGGAAACACCATCCTGGGCAGAGAGGCGTTTCAGTCTGAGCTGTCATCTTCCTCTTGGACGTATGAATGTAAGAGAGCTGACGGGGATGTCAGAGGTCGTACGGTGGCCATCATTGATACCCCAGGGCTGTTTGACACTAATTTTAGTGAAGAAGAACTGCTGAAGAGGATTCAGCCCTGCATGTCTCTGTCTGCTCCGGGTCCCCATGCCTTCCTTGTGGTTCTTCAGCTGGGCCGGTTTACAAAAGAGGAGAGAGACACCATTAAAACCATTCAGAGGTATTTTGGTGGGGACGCAGCCAAGTATTCTCTTGTGTTATTCACACATGGGGACAAATTAAAGAAGCAAACCATTGAAACCTTTATTTCAAAGAGCGAGGAGCTCAAAGGCCTTGTTGAAATGTGCTACAACAGATACCACGTCTTCAACAACCGAATCAGCAGCCATGAACAGATCGACCAGTTACTAGAGAAGATCGACAGGATGATTCTGGAGAATGAGGGAGGATATTACACGGCCAAGATGTTCCAAAAGGCTAAAAAGGCGTCAAAGAAAGAGCAAAAGAGAGCTTTAAAGGAGCTCCAGGATGGAGAGCAGGAGAGGAGGAATGCTCTGAGAGCTGAAGTGGCCAAAGAAATGGGTCTGACAGAGAAGCCAAAATGTGTTGTACAGTAGTTCATGGAGATTTAATGAGAGAAATACACTCTCTTATAATTATGAAGGTAAAAGGCCTACAATATCAGCTCAAATGCAGGGTGGAAGGGACTAGGTTGAAATCAAAAGGTCTAAATGGTTTTAGCAGGCATCAGTTCATCTTCACCACTTTAAAGATGCAGCTCACAGTGTAAGTGTCAGTGCTGCCATCATGGAGATATAACTGCTGTAATCTGTAACTATCACTTTTTAGAAACAAGGAATACTACTGTAAAAGAGTTGACTTGTTCAGAGGGAGGCAAAGTTCGGAAATTAGAGTAGTTTGGAAATCTTTGACAGAAAATCCCTCCAGGAAAGGCTGCAGTTTAAACAGATGTTTCCTTATAGAGTAACAGTAATATTTTTGGTTTCTTTTTTTTCACTATAGGCAGAAACTAAGTTTAAGCATGAATTAAGTAAAAAAAAAAAAAAAAAAAAATTGGTGTGGTAATCAGTCTGATGAATGAAGGGAGTGAACAAAGCCGCCATGATATTGTTTCTGAGTCTGATCCATCTGTTTTGCTGAGTGGATTAGTCCTCCAGTCTACCACCAGTCTGGTTCCATAATTTATAACCCATTCCAGTATAACAGGGGTTTGGTTGAAAAACCCATCCCACTATAACAGGGGTTAGGTTGATTGTCACTTTTACTGATTAAACTCACCATTCACAGTTATCCTCGAAACAAGTCTCTTATAGTTGATCAATTCATACTTGAAATAATAAAAAACCCCAAACCATCTAATTAATGTCCAGAATAATACAATTATCTGATTATATACAGTCAGACTTAAGAACATATATATTTACAATAAAGCATATTCTTAAAATAGTTTTTAACATGTTGTATTTCAAAACCAAAATTATAATGATAATGATAGTTAATTTAAAAAGCTCTGCATTTTGATGGGCACTATTCAGGCATACAGCATCATTTCATTAGTCATCAAATAAAACCATAAGCATTTTTGTGCTGTTGTGATGCTATGCTGAATTTTTTTGAGATTTGAATGTATTTTTTCCTTTTGGTAGCTGTTTGTGATTTTATACTTTTGTACATTTGAGCTGTTAAAAAAAGGGTCACAGCATATCTGGCAGGTTTGATCATGTTGTGTACTCTCAGGTGTATTTCTGCATGATTAGATGAGTCTGGGTGTCTGACTCCTGTAACATTTTCTGAAACAGTTTTCAATCTTCTCTTATTTTTTGTTATTTCTCTGACTTTTTTTTTTTAAATCTTCAGAGTTTATTGTTGTTTCAATAAAAAACATGTGCTCTGTCCTCTGTGTTTTCTGCCCTCTGTAGTCAGATGCAGATATTTTAGACTATGGTTTATATACATTTTGTATGAAAAGTACTAATAAAGAAAATCCACCTAAAAAAGTCAACAAACTAAACAACATAGAAAGTAGCGAGTAAACCTCCCAGACAGCCGTGTTTCTGTCCTGATTTGATTGGTTGAATATACTGATGGATCAATAAAGTAGGCTATATCTATCTATCATGTCAAGGCAAACACAAATTGTAATGATGAGAAAAGCCTCAAGCATTCTGAAGTGAGACTTACATGGACAAGAGTGACACCTCGTGGCCTTCTATATAAAGGCCGGTTTGCTTTATTTCTTACATTATTTATAGGCATGCTCTTATGTGCTGACGTCCCTCTTCTTTGGGCTCTTATCGCTTATATTGCTTTCATCTTCTTTTAGTACTCATTTTTATATTTTAATTTGATCTATTTTGTCGTCTGACTTCTCAGGTCCGGAGTTGTTCCCATGTACACTTGTGCTTGTATGTCAAGCACGTTGTTAACCTGTTTTAAAGGGGACCTGCCACCAAAATTTCATACCCATTTTTATCAATTTTTCATAATCCTTGATGTCCTCTGATCATGTTTGCAACATAATTTTAGCTGAAAAGTTATTTGATGGTTTGTTTTAGTATGCCTTAAAAAACCTTACAGGAAAACCAACTGGTTTTGGCTCATTAACATTTATGGTAATGAGCTTTGTTCTGATTGGATCGCTGCTGTGAAGCCTGCTGTGCTCTGATTGGCTCAGCAGTGGAGGTTCGGATTTCGGTTTATCCACTGTTATTATGCTAATGCTAATAGCATATGCTAATGTGTGCTAAAGTAAGGTGCCCAGATGTCTGTAATGATATCCGGGGATATTCGGTGCGGCGGCGGCAGCGGTGCAGGGGCTGTGTGATCACAGACAAAGTCTCGGTACTATTTAGTAGCAGCGCATGCCCCTTGTAATAACCCCCGTAAGAACTGTTGTCCAGGACTGCTAACTAAATTCGGCTACTGTAATAACCGTTGTTCGAGCCCACACGCAACATTTTTGCTCTCATTAATGAAACGCTTAAATCGGGGACATTTTCGGGGACAGCTTTTGCCGGGGACAGATCATCCAATACGGGGACTGTCCCCGGAAATCAGGGACGTCTGGTCACCTTATGCTAAAGGCTAAAAACGGCAGGTATTAAACCATATATTTTAGACCCCGAGTCCGAAGAGGAGGTGGAAGTTGAGGAAGAAGCCGGAGATCTCCAGCGGTGTTTTCTCATTCATTCTGCCCGGCTTTAAGTTCATTTTCCCGGCAGTGAACCGAAGGAAACACCGATCGTTTGGAAGAGACCCATAGCGGATACAGCGGTAGCTGGGTCTCGCTCTGGCTGTGACTGAGTACGAGAACGAGAGAGTGGGCACGGCTCACCAAGGACGCGCTCGTGAATAATAATGAGCAAGGTCGGCGCAACGTAACACCGACGGGCTTTTTCAATGAGAGGAGGCCAGATGCAGCGCAAGATGGCGGACCCAAAGACCAAAAACCGCAACAAAAAACCGCCATAAGTTTCCGCATTACCTCCAATTGGCGGAAAAACAATTACTTCCGGTGGAAAGGCTTTCTCGTTGGCGGACTTCCGGCGCCGAAATACTTCAGGTAGTCGGATTTAGTCGCCGGATCCTTTTTTTTTTGCTCCGTTCATTCCATAAGAATCGAATTAAATTTATTATTGAGCTAAAAATCAAAATAAAACGTTTATGTATTAATTATGACTACTGTTTTGTTCTGATTTAATTCTGAAGTTTACAGTAATATGTATATATAGCCTGATGTCCTCATATTCTGATAATTTGTCAGAATAGGTAAATGTATGTAGAAGTTATCATCTTACTCAAATTCTTTTGTAAGAGTTTGCTACAAGTATGGACTGTTTTAACCTCTCGTTACACATCATATAACAGTGTTTTCTAACTTTTCTCTCCAATAGCTTTATTACACAGCACATCAATGTTTCTTAACTTCTCTGTGACCTTGTTTCTCCACTCCTATTAGGACCTTGTTTAATGTCAACAATGTTGCCCTGACCCTCACATATTTTCTGTTGTTCATAATTATGTTTTATGAGAGTGCTTATGTTGCTGCACAAATTTACTCCCCCATCCTTTAGTAACATTGTGTAACCAGGGACATAATTTATGAAATGGTGTGCTTCCTGGTGAACCTCTTCAGGATTGCTTGACTGTGCAAAATCCAAGTATACAATAGTTGTAGAGACACAAGTCACATGATCTCTTTAAGGTTCAGAAGAGCCATATAGCAAAAACAATTGAATAGCGATATCATTACAGACTGTGTAAAGAAATGGGAAATTGTCATACAACTGCTTTGAAGATTTCTTTAATTTTTTTCAAACAAAATTGTGAACAGTAAAAAAAAAATATACAAAATTCAGCACGTCGGTGTGGTGGGGGGCTCAAAACACATTGCCACAGGCCATCATCAGCTCCGCTCTGAACCGGCTGATGCCATGCTCCTTCAGTGCTTTGATCAAAAGCTGAAAAACAGGCAAATAATGTGAACAATTGAAGTTATGCAGTATGGGTTAATTGTTGTTCTTGAGCTTTCCAAATGAATAAGAACAACCTCTTAACAATATCATCAATTTTCAAAGCAAGCTATATAGTTTGATCTACTCACCTCTGGGAGCATGACGTCTAAAACGAAATCAAGCAGATGAATATTGCCTGTCTTTATTTTTTTAGCAATGTTTGTTGCCTCCTCAATGAATCGCAGGAGCTCGTACATCTATTGAAGAAAAACACACAAAGTAAACACCTTTCAAATGTAACACCCCTGAGAGTAAAAATACTCATGATGGATGGCATTTTTACTTACGCGCTGCTCACTCCAACTTAATGTCTTTATCTTGAGGTGCTGCTTGAGTCGGAGTGAGGTGGCGGGATTCCTCCAAAGGAACATTCGGTTTGAGCGGAGCTTTCCGGACAGGAGATCATCATGTAATGTCTGAAACCAAAGAGCAAGAGACAAAAATGTAATCATCTGAAAAAGAAACGGTGGCTTTAACAACTGATAGTGCATTCAAAAGCAACCTTGATCTGTGTCTTAGAAAAGACAGCATGAATTCCTCCACTGTCGACAGCATCCTTGATCCTGCAGAGAAATAAGAAAAAGAGCAAGCCCTCATTTTTTCATCCTTTGAGCCTCGTATTTTTGACTGATACTATGTTTCCTTGATAAATTATGTTATACCGAGGATGCTCAATTGAGTCCTCGCACCCGCAGTCAAACGGCTCCATTTCCATCCCAGCACAATCCAGATGCAGCCAGCCCCTGCACGTCTTGCACTGGACCCATTTGATCAATTTTACCTCAGGGTAAAGCAATCTGATCAAATGAGAGACAAACATAATATTAAACAAACACGCTGTCCAATTGATTATACCTCTGCAGCACATTTGAATGTATAAATAATTTTACCACATGATTCGTGCATTTAAACTATATGTAAAAGTGGTCACTTCATGGAAAATCACTGAATAGGCCCCGATAATTGCATTTATTAAATTGAGTCTGCAACACACCTCTCTCCTGTGTTGTCGGATGTCTGGTAGACACAGAATTGCATCGACTCTGCCATGCACATTCTTCGGACATCCGATGCCGTCTGCGTCATGGTTTCCTTGACAAGGCAATTTGAAAAGTAACATCAATTACCAAATACATCGAGACAATGTTGATCCATACAACTGTGTGCATTTTGAAGGACTCCCACTGAGATAATACTGTTTTTAGAAGGCAATTTTCTAACCTCTATGTCCTGCTGCTCGGCCTTCCTCTTTAGTCTGAAGACCGGAGTATGCTTTCCAGCAATGAGCTGTTTACATTCTTCGGTCCAGTGGGCGAAGATTTTCCCACAACTGTAATGACAATATATCTTTAAGTACAATATATTGATTGTCTTCCAGTTAATTAGGGCATCTAGTTTATTTAAACTGTCTACCTGTTCAAAGAATGGTTCTCCAGGAGCAACAGGCACCACCATCGCCGCAAAACAGGCATGTCATGCTGAAATTGTTGTTTGTATTTCATTTTAGTGCACAATACAAAATACAACCTTGAGGATGACACTGCATGTTGAAAAGTACTTACAACTGAGTAGTCAAACTGTGAGTCCAGAACGATGTACATGGCAGACTTAAAAAAAAAAAAATTATGAGACAACATGTGAGATAACATTAAAAAAGTCCATGTTGGAAAGTTATTCTAGATACAATATTTGTGCATTACAGCTCGTTATGACCTACCATCAACATGAAGATTCCACAGTCTGAGCCAAAGTCCTGGCTGGGGAAGCCCTGATTAAAATAATATAAAATAATATTTTCCTTACCGTTGTTTCGCTGTACAAATGCGCATTGTAGGGTGTGTGCTCCTGTAACGACGTCGATTGAGTTCTTCTTCTTCTGTAAATTTTGCCGTCAGAAAGTGTAGGTACATACCGCCACCTACTGTTCTGGCATCGCAAAGCAGAAGTTCAAAGTTCATGTTTTGGGTCCGCCAATCGGAGGTAATGCGGAAACTTATGGCGTTTTTTTGTTGCGGTTTTTGGTCTTTGGGTCCGCCTTGCGCTGCATCTGGGTACTCTTGTTTTCAATTGGCCTGGTTTACTCGTTCCTTGATTTTAAACCTTTACAGAATGCAAACGACATAACGGTTTGTTTTCACATGTACAACATAAGACGAACATAATATGGACCTTATATGACACAAAAAAAACCAAAAATTACATTTTTATGGCAGGTCCCCTTTAAAGGTGATGTACAAAAATGAAAACTGTGTTAGCCGATTAAAATGAGCGCTGCATTCTTACAAAAATGAGAAAGAAAAAGTAAACAAGCTTAACAGGTAAATCTTGAGAAAAAAATATTTAAATCAGTGTTTTAATATAATTTGAAATTTAAAAATATCATCTTTATCAGTATTTAATCTTCATTTCCACGAGCCTGCGGCTGTTACCTAAAACGTCTTAATAATGTTGGCACGGAACTCCTGACATCACGTGACTTATCAGCCGCTCAGTCATGTGACGCACCGGAGCCGTGAGCGTGCACATTCAGCAGCAGCAGCAGCAGCAGTCGGCTACAGACCCTACGGTTCCAGGATGGATGTTAGACTTTTTCAGGTTTTTGTGGTGATTCTCGGTGTTTCAGCGACTCTCAGCTCCCCTCAGTCCTACATCCTGAACGACAAAGACGGTCTGGGCAGGGTTTTTGACGGGATCGGAGGTCTGAGCGGCGGAGGGGTGAGTCTCTTAGTACTTCCTGGTTCGATATCTTCCACATGTGTATTAGTAAGCATATTTTTTATTCTTGTTTATTATATTTATTATTTTGTCTACCTGTCAGGCTACCACCCGTTTGTTGGTGAATTACGCAGAGCCGTACCGCAGTCAGGTTTTAGACTACCTGTTCAAGGTGGGTCACGGTGCAGCTCGTTTATTCAGTTTATTTAAATAAGCCGCAAAATCAGTGATGTTTACTGTTTTCTGCTGTTTCAGCCAAACTTCGGAGCCTCTCTGCACATACTGAAGGTGGAGATAGGAGGAGACGCTCAAACTACAGGTGGGGACACCCACAACCCAAATTCCATAAAGTTTAGACTGTGGGAAATCATGGTAGAAGAGAGTGGTTTGCAAATCCTTCAACAATCATACTGAATTGAAAACTTTGCAAAAGCTAATTTGCATACACTGAAAAAATACAGTTTTCTATAAAATATCTACTCATCTTAAATTTGAAGTCAGCAAATGTTTCAAAAAAGTTGAAATAGAGGAACAACCAAACAGGTAAAAAGTTGTGAAAGGGGAAAAATCAAACAGGTAAAAAGTTATGGTGGAACAACCAAACATGTCTCTGTTACATATTTAAATGGAGCAGATTTTTTCACCCCTCAAAATATTTCTATCTCACCTTCTGATGTTCTGATTTTGATTAAATCTATCAGGATAATTCAAAATATTGATATTTTCTCTGTTTCCATAGATGGGACTGAGCCGTCACACATGCACTTTGAAAATGATGAAAACTACTTCAGAGGTTATGAGTGGTGGCTGATGAAGGAGGCCAAGAAGAGGAACCCTAATATCACCCTCATAGGTAAAGTCACATGTGGTAATCCTGCTTTACTGCACAGTGAGCCCAGACAGACAGCAAAGGTTAGAGTTTTACAGCCTGAACAGTCCTCATACAGAGGTTAGTCACTGAGAGAGCAGGGCTGAAATGTGATAAACACAGTGATGTTTCAGCATATTGAGGATCTTGATTTTACCCGTGTGTCTCTTTAGGTCTGCCCTGGGCATTTCCTGGGTGGGTGGGTCATGGTAAAAACTGGCCATATGATTTCCCAGATATCACTGCATTATATGTGGTAAGCTGGATCCTCGGAGCCAAACAGTACCACGACTTGGACATCCAGTATATCGGGGTGCGTATTTCCTCTTTTTCCACAGGTATCAAAGGATTTGATCTCAATAAACAGACAAGAGTTTTCTGTTAGTCTAAAATATCTTCCCATCACTTCAGATCTGGAATGAGAGAAACTACGACAGCAAGTACATCAAGGTAATCTTAGCTCCTATTCTTAATGTTACTAGTATGACTGACAGAAGTGCATTGTGGGTAATTAAATAAGAAAAACAGCCACAAACATTGAGCTTCATCCCGCAGTTTGGGTTCTAGACGTGTTCCTCTGAGAGCGTGTCTTTATCTAAGGTTCTGCGGGACTCTCTGGATAAAGTTGGTCTGACCGAGGTCGGCATCATCGCTGCAGATGGCGACTGGAGCATCGCGAAATCTGTGATCCTTGACTCATACCTAAACAATGCCGTTCAGGTGCTCGGGTGAGTACAGGTGTCACTTCAGTAAACCTGTCAGTCCAGAAAAGCTCTTGTGTATCTCCGACTAGTGACTGATAGATTCATACACACTGATCATACACAGAAGCTGTGGCATATGTCTGAACTTAACACCAATCAGGTCCGACGTGCACTTACTCTTAATTTTGGGTTTCTTCTTTACGCTGTGTGGATCAGAGCTGAATGTTTGTGGCTGTTTACTTCTGGGACTAAATGTATTCTTAGCTTTAGTTCATTACTATCATGACATCTGTGCATGATCCTGTATGTCAGACCAATCTACATGACAAAGGTATCATAAAGCATGACTTATTCAACATGTCAGTGTACAGTGAGTTGCTGCCATCATGTAAAAATCTTGGTTTATGGTTTGAAAGCTGCACAAATCTATATTTAAATTTTAAATGTGGCTCAAACTTTCACGTGATACACATGCTTACTGTAACAAGGTCATTACTTACAAGGGCAGAAAAGCCAGTCATGGAGTATTTACCTCAGGATTAATGACATCTCTCTTTTCATAATATGGAAAGGTAAATAAGCATTAATGTAAGTTGTAAATGAGCTGTTTACAGTTTGTGAGTCTACAGCAGAGTTGGCTGTCATCTCACCTGTACAGTGCATTCAGTGAGATGAAGGCAGAAATTATTAAAGAAAGCACAAATAAAAGAAATAAAATCCTGTAAATTACAAATAAAGACAGTAAAAGGTAGAAAATATATATATATACACTGTGTGCAGAATTATTAGGCAAGTTGTATTTTTGAGGATAAACTTTATTTTTGAACAACTGCAGTGCTCTTGGTCAATCCAAAATGTTAATAAACCTCAAACCTGAATATTTAAGGGAGTAAAAGTGAGATTTTGGCTTCCTTAGGAGGATATCTATGTGTGCACAATTATTGGGGGCAGCTATTAGTGTGCAGAATTATTATGCAACTAAATTGAAAATGAAAAATTTTCCATCTCACTTGTTTATTTTCACTTGTTAAAGTGAGAATGATAAACAAACAACTCAATTTACAAATAAAAATTGTTGAAATTAAAAAAAAAAAAAATCTGTGACCAATGTAACTACCCTTCTTTTCAATAACAGTCATAAGCCTTCCATTCATGGAGTCTTTCAGTTTCTTGATCTGTTGACAATCAACTTTTTGTGTTGCAGTAACCAAAGCCTTCCAGACACTGTTCAGAGAGGTGTACTGTCCTCCTTCACTGTAAATTTCCCGTTTAAGAAGGGCTCACAAGTTCTCAACAGGGTTTAGGTCGGGTGAAGAAGGAGGCCATGTCATTATTCTTTCGTTTTTAAGGCCTTTACTGGTGAGCCATATAGTGGAGTACTTCGTTGCATGCAATGGAGCATTGTCCTGCATAAAAATCATGGTTTTCTTGAAAGACGCAGACTTTTTCCTCTACCACTGCTTGAAGAAAGTGTCTTCTCAAAACTGGCAGTGGATTTGGGAGTTGATTTTAAGTCCATCTTCAACTCGAAAAGGTCCAGCTAGCTCATCTTTAATAATACCAGCCCATACCAGTACCCAGCCTCCACCTTGCTGATGTCTGATTCAAAGTGGAGCTCTGTACCCATTACTGATCCAGCCACGGGTCCATCCATCTGGTCCGTCAAGAGTTACTCTCATCCCATCAGTCCATAAAACCTTTGAAAAATCTCTCTTCAGATATTTCTTGGCCCAGTCTTGACGTTTCGACTTGTGTCTTGTTCAGTGGTGGTCAGATTTCAGCCTTCCTTACCTTGGCCATGTCTCTGAGCACTGAACACCTTGTACTTCTGGGCACTCCAGGTAGGTTGCAGTTCTGGAATATGACAGCACCTGAGGATAATGGGTTCCTGGTAGCTTTACGTTTGAGTCTTCTCAAATCTTTGGCAGTTAATTTGCGTCTTTTTTTCTTAACACATTTCTTGCGACCCTGTTGACTATTTGCATCAAAATGTTTGCTGATTCTGTGATCACACCCAAATATCTAAGCAATTTCAAGAGTGCTGCATCCCTCTGAAAGACTTTTTACATTTTTTGACTTTTCAGAGTCACTTAAATCTCTTTTTTGGCCCATTTTACCTGAGGAAAAGAAGCTGCCTAATAATTATGCACACCTTGATATAGGGTTTTGATCTCCTTAGGCCCCAGCCTCCCTCATTACACTAATACACATTACCTGATATGCTTATATCCAATAAGCATTCAACTTTATACAGCTTAGAGTTGGAAAATATGCATAAAAATGATGATATGATCAAAATACTCACTTTCCTAATAATTGTGCACACAGTGTATATCTCACAGAGACTCTCACTGGGTTAAAAAGCCAAAGAATAAAACATAAAAATAACTTAATTTGACTTCGTTAGTGAGAAAAGTTGAAGATATACCTGGACAGCTAAAATACACTTGGATGGTGTTCCTGTCAATCACATGTTTGGGACAAATGTTATACTAGAGAATTGCAGGCTGTGATGTTTTACTCATGTTAATTCACAGGGTAAAAGAAAAGCATCTTTTTATAAAAATAATAACAATAATTTATTTATTTATCTTCTTATTGTTGATATACAGTAATATTGCTGCAGTTATACTTAACCATGCACAGCTCCCAGATGTACTGTACTTCAGTGTCTGTTGTAAAATGCATGTTTGCAACACATGCCCAAAAGAAGCCTTTATAAGTTAGCAAGAAGAAAGAAAAGAAACAGTTACAAATATAATGGAGTCATAAAGGCAAGGCTGACAAAACTATAAGAACAAAAATAATAAAGTTGTTGTATTTTCAGTTGTTTGCAAACAAGTTGTGCACCACGAACAGAGGACACTGTCTCAATAAGATACTGTGTGTTGTAATAAAAAGTTCAAGTTGCAAATGCTGATGACACTTTCATAGCTGAACATTTATTCTAAGATTTCACAGTGTTGGTAAAACAAAATGTTAGTGTAAGATGATAAACCAGGTATTATGTTTGATTTTTCTCATTTTTGATGTGCTCATTAACAGCTTCAAAAGGTTTTAACAGCCACAACTATTATAAATGTAGAAATAAGGATGAAAAGACACTTCAAACAGACTGTCAATTTTTGTATCAGAAATATTTGACCCTGGTCAGATCTAAAAAGATGTCTCCACAGCTGCACAGTGTAAAGTTTTTTTTAATGTAGTTTACAGGATTTTAACTGATTTAAAACACCATTTTATCTCTCAGTGGTATCCCAGTTTTACATGGTGGCAGTCAACTCTGTAAAGTCTGAGTATCCCAGCAGTGACTCAGTGTCTCCCTCTGCTGGACCAGCTGCTGCGGTACACGCTGGATAAGAGCGGTCTTAAGAGGGTCAGGATCATAGCCAGTGACAACCTGTGGGAGCCCATTTCTCTGACTCTGCTGCTAGACCCTGAACTCAGCACAGCTGTAGACGTGATAGGGTAGGAGCCTTCTGTGTGCTCAGAGCTTCTCTATCTCTCTCTGCTTTATTAATATCTACATGCAAATACTGAGTCTGCACGCTGAAACCGGCCAAACTAACCCCGGGGTTTCTGCTGTGTGTGGGTGTGTGTGTGTGTAGGTGTGTGGGTGTGGGTGTGGGTGGGTTTAAAGCTCATCCAGAAGCATGACTTAAATTTTCTTTGGCTCACTTTGATAAGTTTTGTTCTCGTTCTGTCTTTAGGATGAACTTCTGTCTGTCTTTGAACCTGTGGAGCAAAACTAGATTACAATTTTGGTCTTGAATTCTTAAAATGTGGTGCTCTCATTCTGACCAACCTCTATTATTAACACAATGACATGTTATTTGTGGTGTGTGTGACATTCAGGGCTCACTATCCAGGCACCACCACCGTGTTAGATGCTCTGAAGACGCAGAAGAAGCTGTGGTCATCTGAGGACTACAGCACCTTCAATGATGAGGTGGGAGGAGGCTGCTGGGCCCGCATCCTGAACCAGAACTACGTCAACGGGCTCATGACTGCGTAAGGAACATTCACCAACAATACTCTGAAGAAAAAACAGTAGTTTCATCCAGTCATCTTTATATTGAACTCAAAATAAATGAAGATTCGGCTCTTACTAAAGATGAGGTGTAAAACCTGTGTACTGATCAGTGACAAGTCTAAGTGGTCTGAGCCTCTTTAATCCTCTGGTATGTTTTTTTCTTTTAGAACAATCTCATGGAACTTGGTGGCCAGTTACTACGAAGATCTCCCATTTGGCAGAGACGGACTGATGACAGCGGAGGAGCCGTGGAGCGGACACTACGCAGTGGAGTCTCCGATCTGGATCACAGGTCCACTTTAAATAACTGCAAATACATGAGACAGATCTGCAGAGTTGAATGAAGGACTCTGAACCTCCTAAAAGCTTTAAACAAACCTGAAACCTTGTTTTTCTGGCACTGTTGACTAATAAATTACTGGTTGTCCCTTCAGCTCACACCACTCAGTTCACTCAGCCTGGATGGACGTACCTGCAGACGGTTGGTCACCTGGAGCATGGAGGAAGTTATGTTGCTCTGACAGACAAGAGAGGAAACCTCACAGTTGTCATAGAAACCATGGTGAGTTCAGATGAAGATTTTTACCGTTGGCTTTTTTTTCTCTGTCCTGTCTGTGATTTTAAATGATGCAGGAAACCATTTACAGTAAAAATATGAAAAAATGATAAAAACAGGTATATTCACAGTATATTTAGATGTTTGAAATAAACAAGTGTTTTCTTCTCCTATCCTCTTAGACTCACGATCATTCTGTGTGCATTAGACCTCCTCTCCCCCCCTTCAACGTCACATGCCAGAATGCAACTTTCCAGCTGAAAGGCTCCTTTGTAGGTTCCTCCAAAGTCCTCATTACTCTGATAACTGTTCAGGAGCTTTCCTATTGTCTGTATTAAGTTCCTTGTCCCCTCAGGCCTCCATCCAGCAGCTCCAGGTTTGGCGGTCGCAGTTTAACTTCAAAACAAACAAGCCATCGTTCTTTGAGAAACTGGCTCCATTAAAGGTAAAAATCAGACCACAAAGATTTTACACCTGGTTTATCTGATGTGCTGAAGGCTCGCTCTGAACAGGTCTGTGGTGTTTTCAGCTTATAGACGGCTCCTTCACTTTACACCTGGCTGAGGATGAAGTTTACACTTTAACCACATTAACGTCAGGACAGAAAGGAGCTCACCCCGACCCCCCTCCCTCTGCTCGATTCCCTAAAGTCTACAAGGACGATTTTAACGTTCGTAAGTTGGACATACACACATACACACATACACACACACACACACACACGCACGCACGCACACACACACACACACACACGCATCCACGGGGAGGTGGAGCAGTGCAAGGCTGTCAGTTTTTAATGCTTTCCCCCCTTATCAGATCACGGTCATGCATTTTGAGAAACCAGTTCACACTATTGAGGAAATAAAGCCTGTCTGATTGAAATGACTCTTCACCATCAGGCAGGTTGACTTACAGAAGAGGAGTGGAATAAGTCTCTACCATTTGGTTTCAGACTGCAGGTCTGTCTGTATCTCAGTGTTGTAAAATGCTACCAAAGGTTGAGCTCAGGTAGCTGGCAGGGAAATGATAGAATATGTTTGTAGAAAGAGCCAGTTAGCTGCATAGAAACTGAACACAGTGGAAGTCTTCTGTCTGTTTTTCCTGCAGGTGAGAGAGAGGACTGACTCTGGCTGAAACTAACAATCAGCTGTAAAACCAGGTATTAGGACACCATCGTCGCTCTGTGTCTTATCAGCTGAAAAAAAAAGTTAAATAACATAAGCAGATGCAGACAGGCACAAGCTGCAGAGAAGAGGTTAATCAAAGACTAAAATAGAGTGAAATAAAACTTTATAAGCATGACGGTTCCTCTACAGGTCTACTGACAATATTCAAAAGAAGAACCAAAGTTCAGAGTGGAGTCTGATGACTCTAAAAAAATAAACTAAATGATCCACATGATCAAACCTCAGTATCCTCTCCCTCACAAATCTCTTCTCTTTATTGTGTCATTAAAGCACATGGAGACTTGGATCATGTATTAAATTATACAGTGGGCTGGACACGGAAATGCAGGACCAGTTGTGGCCCTTACTGAGTAATCAGTGAGCTGCACTTGAAATATTCTTCCCTTAGTTTTGGTTTGTTTCTCTGCTGATGATTTTATGACCTCTTAAAGACACTCTGTAACTTTGATAGCTGATGCAGCTTCTTGGAAATGTCTAAAAGACTGGCACAGATCAGATCCTGTAAGGAAAGTTAAGGGTAAGAGTGAACGATGTGGACCTTTGATCACACTGCTTTTGATTCATCTTTAGATGGTGCATTGTAACCTACATTAAATAAACTGAGATATAATTATGAAGTACACAGTAGTGATTGTTTTATAAACACTATCTGCATGGTGTGGTGCAGTTAAAGCTGGGGCACGCCCCTTATCTGGGTTTATCTCCAGCCAACAGGTCTATAGAAGAGTTTGATAAGATCCAGCTCCTCAAAGTCCTGTCCTCTCCACCTCTATAGGAAACCCTGCCTTCTCTGAGGCTCCAGACTTTGCTGATCAGACAGGCGTGTTCGAGTACTTCATGAACCTGACCGATCCTGGACCTCATGTCTTCACCTTACGACAGGTCCTGACTCAGAGACCAGTCACCTGGGTCGCAGACGCTGACCAGGCCATCAGTGTGATTGGAGACTATCAGTGGTGAGCAGAGTGGGTCTTATAATGTCCTCTTATTTATGAGTGTATGCGTATCAAAACCTCTTGTAACATCTGTAATCCAGGCAGAACCTGACGGTGTCCTGTGACATCTTCATGGAGAAGGAGAAGACCGGGGGAGTGTTTGTAGCAGCTCGGGTGGATAAAGGAGGACAGTCGATCCGCAGCGCTAAAGGAGTCTTCTTCTGGGTGTTTACAGACGGCACGTACAAAGTCACCAACGACCTGGGTCAGTGCTTTCACACTCTGTTTATGTTCTCCTCTATAAGGAGAGTTTTCACTCTGATTTTTCAGGTAAAACATGCAGGTTTGTGTTTTCTTTTCTGAGTAATCTTATGAGAAGACCAACAACATGAAAATCTTCCAAACAGGTTTCATGAGTCACTGGGGTCACCATGAGAGTCAGCTCTGTAGAGTCTGGCAGCTGGGTCTGTTCTGCAGCACAATGTGTGAACTCACTGCTGTTGTCAATAGTGGGCATAGTGTAGCAGAGGCATTGCTTTTCCCTCTTTCAACAGAGACAGAGGCTCACTCTGTAGAAATGTGCCTGCCTTGTAAAGATACCTAACGGAGGTTAAAGGTTAAGTAAGCCTCATATTTCTGTGCGGTTGTCTTCCAGCTGGACAGACGATCCTTGCAGAGGGACAGTCTGGTACTCAGGCGTTTTGCTGGCACTCTCTGACACTCACTGTGGAGGTAAGTACAAACTAATAAAAGTCTTCAGTGAAAGGAATTGTCTCTGAATTGTAAAGACTCTTACAGTATCCGATAAAATGTAAGTGTACCCTCTTCCTCCTGCAGGGCCAGTTTGCATCTGGTTTCCTGAATGGGTATCCTCTCTGGAAGAAAGCCGTGGTCCTGATCCCTCAGAAAGGCTGGGCAGCGATAGGAACACAGTCACTTGAACTGGCTCAGTTTGATAACTTTGATGTGTTGGCACAGTGATGACTGGATTGTGAAAATTTAACTCTTCTGTGAATTTTGCCTTTAATTTATTGACCTGATCAAAGCTTTGGTTTCATGGTGTGCCAATGGTAGCCTAAATGAATTTGTCTTCTTGTTTTGTTTTGACAATCTGAAGGTGATACACTTGAATGAAGGGAACATGGGAGGTATAATAATAACACTCTGCTGCCTTGAAATGTCTGTTTTTTTTTCTATCAGATGTCATTGTAAACTATTTTAAATGGAATAAAACAATTTTTAATTTAAATTTGGTTTGACTTGAGCTGTGACATTTTAAAACTTTTGTTAAAGACGTTATGAACAAATGAACAGATTAAAAAAGGTCCTATTTTGTATTTTAAAAAAGTAAATAAAATGAACAATACAATATAATTCTGTACAAAACAACTGATTGTTTGCCTAATCTGATTGTTGTTAAAATCGACCGTTTGTTGATCTAACTGAAAGCACACTTGTTGCCACGGAGACGCACGCGCGTGCTTACCGTCTCAGTAGTAACAAGGAGCAAACGACAGCAGCTAGCATGGCGGAGCGACACAACCGGCCACCAAAGAGAGTTTTTATCAACAACGTAGACTCCTACGCCTCTAAATATATCGCAAAGGTAAATAATTGTTACACTTGTCTAAGGCTTGTAACCTGTTAGTGTGAAATATAAAACTGGATTACATGCGCCTGACATATCTATCTATCAAAGCAAACGGTGAATTAGCTAACGGTTTCTCCTCTGCAGTTCTCAACGGTGTTTGGTTTATATATTTTCGTTCCAAGTTTTTGTCAGAGTGTGTGGTGGGAGCAGATCCTGAAGGAGAAAATAAAGAAGAGAAGGGGAGGAAGATTTCATACCGCAGCAGACAGAAATCTTTCTATGTTGTTGGAACAGTTTCAGACTCACCTGAGGAGGACAGACCACACCTGCGTGAGGAGTATTCAGTTAGTATCTATTGATAAATCACGTCACGAAGTCTGCTGTCGCATTAACAGACAAGGGTGTGTTTCAAATGAGTGTATTTTACATTTATTACATATTTAAATGCTTCTTTAAAGAGCGCGAACAGAGAGGTCCTCCTCTCCAAACTGATGGACTGTGATGTGGTCATTTTCAACATTACCCAGCATGCCGAGCAGGTGGAGGAGGCTTTTTGGGCTGTCAAAGGTAAGACCCATGAATGAGCTTCAGACTGGCTGTTGATAATCTGTTCAATTTTTGAATAATGATATTGAAATGATCAATATGAAAGCAGCTGTGAAATGTCAAAGTGAAAAGACAGATCTGTCTAATTGAGAGCTTTAACACAAGCCTCTTCTAAGTAATTCAGACAAACATTACAAACATTCACCAAAGAAAAACAGAAAATAAATCCACCAACAGATACAGAAAAAAAAGATAAGGTCTAAATCTGGACCAGACTTAACCACCAGGACATACAAACAGCTGGAAAATCATCCAAAATCAAATCTACAATTCAGAAAGTAGTTTTTTTTTTTTTCCAACATCAGCCAACATTTAAGCAAAACCTGAAGATAGTCTAGATTCGATGATTTCATGATCAATGAATCAGCTGATGAATACTGTCTTTTTTTTTTTTGTAGCTCTTCATGATAAAATGAAAAACTTTTCTGGACCAAAGAAGTTCATCCTGGTCTCCACAGTGATGACCTGGGCCTGCAGCAAACCTATCGATCCAGTAAGAGAGCACTGACTCTGACAATCTTAACCTGCCTTAACTGACATATTGTTGAATAGATCATGAGTCTCACATGTGTCTTTACATCCCTGCACTGATTAAATGTTATCGAAGTAAATGATCAGATAATAGCTAGTTAAATGTTATCCCTGTTTACTGAGATTGTAGATCATTAACATAAGCATCACTTATTGATCCCAGGATCACAGAAATATTAGTCGTAAACATGACTGAAGAAGTAGGGACAGAGAAAATGGTGTTTTATAAGGAGGATATTTCCTTTATTTTTATATATTGTTGCTAAGCATCTAAAAAGGTTTTGAGCCGATGCTGCAGTTGAAGAAAATCATACATTTGGAATTTTTATTATGATAAAAAGGTTTCTGTTCAACTTACAGCTCTATCTGTAGTGTGTCACCTTTGTGTTTTTGTTGTGTCACTTTTGTGGTTTTGCTGGGTGTCACCTTCATGTTTTTGTTGTCCATTACCTTTGTGTTTGTTTGTATCACCTATCCTTTTTGTTGTGTCACTTTTGTGTTTTTGTTGTGTTACCTTTGTTTTTTTTTTTTGTTTTTTTTTTTTGTGTGTTGCCTTTACGTTCATTTTGTGTAACCTTTCTTTTTTTGTTGTGTCAATTTTGTGTTTTTGTTGTGTCACCTTTTTGTTTGTGTTGCGTGTTGCCTTTGTGCTTGTGTTGTATCATCTTTCTATTTGTTGTGTCACTTTTGTGTTTTTGCTGTGTGTCACCTTTCTGGTTGTGTTTCTGATGTGTCACCTTTGTCATTTTGTTGTGTGTCACCTTTGTGTTTTTGTTGGGTCACCTTTGTGTTTTTCTTGTGTGTCACCTTTGTGTTTGAGTTGTGTATCACCTTTATGTTTTTTCTGTGTTTCACTTTTGTGTCTGAGTTGTGTGTTACGTTTGTGTTTTTGTTGTGTGTCACCTTTTTGTCTGAGTTGTGTGTCACCTTTGTGTTGTATCACTTATGTGTTTTTTTTTTGTGTGTGTGTGTGTGTGTGTGTGTGTGTGTGTGTCACTTTTGTGTTTTTGCTGGCTGTCACCTTTGTGTTTGTTTTGTGTCACCTTTGTGTTGTTTGCTTTGTATTTTTGCTGTATGCCCAATGTTTTTTTTTTTTTTTTCTGTTTCAGGAAGATCTAGAGCTCCCGTTTACTGATGAGGTTTTCTGGAGAAGACTAGCTCACCCAAACTTTCAACATCACTACAACGTGGAGAGGAGGGTGGTCAAAATGGGAAAAACTGTCTGTATATCCTCAAGCTTAAATGTTTTAACTAAAAGGGGAAAAATATAATCATAACAATAAATGTGTCACATGGTTGCTATTTCAGGACAGGAAGTTGTTCTCAACGTATGTGGTGGCTTCAGGACTCCAATACGGGATGGGAGAGCAGATCTTCCACTTTTTTTTCAAGGTGAGAACTAAAAACTGCCCAATAAAGCTACATTTTATTTACCACACTCAGATAATTAAATCAAAAATCTAAGAGCTTGATTTACTAGGACTTCACATAAATTGTCTGTACACTCATAATTCATGTTTCGTTGGAGTGTGTGTTTTGAGGTGATCAACGAAGAAGAATAAGGTGTGAATGAGGTCAGGTGTGAAGACTGTAAAGGTGGTGGTATTTGAAGTCTTTGTGTGTTAAACACGTTTGTGCCGTGAAGAGTTTGGACAGAAAGCAGACTGATGTAGGTGCAGGATGAAATTCAGCTTCATTAGAGGTCCCAGTGAAAAAGGGAAAAGGAAAAAGAAGTCTGAGCTGAAACAAAGACATCTGAATTTCACAGACAGGCCCCTGGTTTTGATTCAGTTTGAGTCTGTTGATAAATGCATACAGTACATCTCTGTCACATTCTCTCATGATGGATCTTATATCTCTAATTAAGCTAAATGAAAGGTATTTGTGTTATATCAGATCATTTCCAGACTCAATGGTGTCATGAGTTTGAAGTTGTTGTTGGATGGATGAATATCATCAACGCTGCAAATGATATAAAAAAAGTGAAGTTTTTGTGTAACTAAGAGATAATATAACAATTACCAGATGTCCTGGCTGGGACAGAAACAAAGGATCCCTGTATTTGGAGAAGGAAATAACATCATGCCCACGATTCATGTTAATGACCTGGCAAGGTGAGACACACAAACACACACACTCACACGTAATTTAATGATTATACTTATAAGTGTTATAGAGTCGGTGTGTAAATGTTTAAACTGCACAGTCTTAAAGTTATGACAAATCAAAGAAACAGTAGATCCAACATTATAATCCTGCAGTCAGAAATCAGAAATGTGTGATCTGTAACCTTACATTGATAATTCCATCAATTTGATTTTGATCATTTGATCCGTATTGACTGTACTGGTCATGATAGTTTGAATTTTTGCAGTTTTGAAACTGTGATATTTTTACTTTTAAAGTGTCATTCAGAACGTGATTGAACATCAGCCAAAGCTGTATTACCTGCTCGCTGTGGATCAGTCCAACAACACCATGGAGGAGATTGTGACAGTGAGTTCAGGAATACAAATATGTCTACAGTGTATTTTATTAAGTCTTGCATCAAAGTCCTCAGACTGACTGAGTAATAATACAGTATGGTCATTGTTTTTCCCTAACAGAGACATGTTGATGGTGTAGTTGTCTGCATTGTTTCCTGTACAACAGCTTAGTTTGATTTGCACACAAAATGGTGATTGTGATTGTGATTTCTCCTCAATCAGGCGGTCGCCTCTGCTCTTGGACCTGGAAAGATCCAGAAGAAACCTTTTGAAGAAGCTCTCCTCACACAGGACCTGAGTGTATGTCTCACGTAAATAGTTCGATGAATTTCAGAGCAAACACTCATAACAATTTAGCTTCAGTGTTAAAAAAAAAAAAAAAAGACTGAAGTTTAGCAAATTTCTTCTCTAAGTTTCAGAGAACCTTCAGAAACGTTTGTTCTCACATTAGAGCACATTAGAGCTAAGGGTTTCAGTGTCATTCATCAGGATGTTGTTAGCTCAGCACAGTGACATGCAGCAATAATTTTAACCTGCTCATTTTAAAACAGTTTTTTTTTATTTATTATTATTATTTTTTTTGTTAATCTCCAAACAACACCCTTCAGTGTCCTCCATAACAAATAGGGAAAATAAACACAGTTTACAAAGAGACTGCATGTCTCTGTGTGCTTCAACTACTACTGTTTATGTCTGTTTTACACTTTTGGGTCATGTGCCTCATTTCTTAAAGCCAAACCAGATACAAGGACTTTGAATAAGCCAAGACTACGATACCGTCTTTATACAGTATCAAGTTTCACTTTAATCAGATATTACAGTACCTTCATGTGCCATCAAATCAACTGTCCAACTCAAAGAGAGCTACAGCCATATAGGAGCACTGACAGCTGTGATTTGAAATGACAGCTTTAATGGATGTAGGCTGGCAGTGTTAAAGACAGAGGAGAGAGAGGAAACAGCTGATTCAGTTTTTTTTCTACCTAAAGCAGTGAATAAAACTGTAATGAATAAGGTTTATATGAATATTCTTTCCTTATTTCAGGTGATGGAGCTTGACTCCCTGCAGGTGAACCTCCGGATGGAGGCGGTCCACATTCAGGAGCTCTTCTCTGTGAACTGGTGCTGTGCGTCTGGGCTGGTGAAGAACATGGAGCAGGTGGTCGAGGAGTTCAGACAGACCAGAGGGATTTTGGTAGGAAACAAAGATGAAACAGACATCACTAATGAACACTTTGAACCCTGAAATATTAGTAATATAATATAAGTGGTGGAGGATGATCATAGCAGTAACCAGAGTTAAAACTGTCAGTCCATTTACATGCAGAGTTAAGAGGAGCTGCGTTAAAGCTCAGTTTGAGGATTTGATTAGACTGATGTTCTCATCCTACTCTACAAGTTTTGTGCAAAAATCACATTTTTGACAGAAGCGTGTCTGCCTCCACTACAGTAGGTGGCCACATGCCATAACATGTTATTCACCAAAACAATCCACCAAACGCATTAGCAAGCAGCTGATAGGATATAAACATGGTCACTTTTACAGCTCTGAACTGTCTGTACATCCATTACGAGACTTTCAACTCTTTTTTTTCATTCTGTCTTCATCTATCCAGGTTCTGTTTACTTCCTGACCTCCTAGTACCACATTTATGCTGTTCAGCCTTTGGGCCACAGCCCGGCCTGTGAACTCTTGAGTATGTGCAGAATGCCAAGGCCAGTGTCAGTCTAATAGAAGTGTATACCCAAAAGAGAAAGTCCAACTATGTGCTATTTGACTCTGTGCTGATTTCCGTCAGACTCATGTGTTTATGTGGATATTTAAAGTCCAATTCCATGCAAAGAAAAACTATTTTTTTCAGCAACATGTAAACATACTTTTATTGTTTACATTTAACTCTGGATGTCAAACTTATCTCATTAATGCGAGGGACTTACCGGAGGACGTCTCTCACTTTCTCTTGTCAATCACTTTCAGCAAAGCGTATGTCCATCACTACACGCTATTTATGCAATAAGAGGGAGGGAGTTGCTCATGGCCTCAGAGAAAAAAGAGAAATACTGATTTATCACCATTTCATAGATACAATGCTGCTGTGTTCTCATGTGGACATCAATACAATGACAGAAGTCCAAGTTGTTTCAAATTTTAAACTGTGTATGTTTTCTGTGTGTGTGTGTGTGTGTGTGTGTGTGTGTGTGTGTGTGTGTGTGTGTGTGTGTGTGTGTGTGTGTGTGTGTTTGTGTCCGTCAGCCCCTGCGTGTGTGTGTCTTAGGTCCTCCTGCGGTGGGGAAGAGCTCAGTGTGCAAACAGATCTGTGAACACTACAAACTTCCACACATCAGGCTGAAGGAGACCGTCTCTGAAACCACTGCACAACCGGTGACCTCCCAGAAACACAAACACACACACACACACACACACACACACACACACACACACACACACATCAGTAAGAGGAGAAGAAATGTTACAATATTTTTACATATGGGTTTTTTTTAATATGAAAAATACATGATTTCACATTAGATGAGGTTCGACGGTAAAAGTAAATCATGTCCTCATTAGATGGATATCAACTTACCAAAAAGCAGCAGTTTGTTAACACACTCGATCAGCTGCTTTTTTAAGGAAGCTTAAATTATTTTTATTGTTAATGTTCATGTTGAAGCTGTTTTATGGGAGCTTCATATACTGAGAGCCTTTGCATTCAGCTCCTGCAAAAATCAGGTACAAAGTAGATAAGGTGGTTAAAGTAAGCAGCAAGATAACTGGGTAACAAATGTGCACTGCTTTTCTCACAAAGAAGGACTACACATTGAATTTAATTCACTGAAGTACAGCAGATCCTCAGCACTCCCTCTGGTCTGCAGACTCAGGTTTAACCCCAATGTGCAGATACAAATTGTGCATGGTGAGGACTAAAAACAGTCTTAATCCAAACAGCATTCAGCTGCTGAACAAAACTTGATTTTTAAACTTATTTATTGTCACATTGTTCAGGTTTGAACAGCTTCAAGAAAACACACCAATCAAAAATACTGTCATGCACACTGGGTCCAAAGGGTTAATGTTATTTGTGTTTGTGTTTTTTTTTTTTTTTTTTTTTTTTTAAATACCTTTTGCAGGAATATGCAGTGGGGAACTCTGATCCTGAAGCAGAGGATGAAGACACTGCAAGTAAACTGCTGTACAGTCTGGAGGACAGTATGGAGCAAAACGGAGGTGCACACTGTGACCAGCAGGGTTTACCCACCAATAAGGACTGAAGAAACAGCATACAGCATGCTCACTGATTCAATTGTTTTTCTGACCTTTCCAGAACAGACCACCTGACCCAAACAAAAACTGAGCTGTACCACGTTTTCTTAAAAAAAACAAAAAAAAAAAACAACAAAAGACTACAAACTTTAAATGACTTCATAGGATAGGAGGATGCGCTAGGCTGTATATGATTTGTTGGGAAGGGGCCGTGTTTTATAACTCATTATTTTCAGTAAATAATTACAAGGTAGGCCATTGCTGACGAGTTTATGTCTTGGCAACAAAAGAAGAGACTTCTAGAGAGCCAGCCAATACCTTGTCTGACAGAAATTCTGAAGCCTAAAAGACACCTGTCTGGCATTCTTTAGACAGAAAAGAATGGATCATTGCGGTTCTGAAACTTATCTCATAAATATCAAGGTTAAGACGCAGTTTCTTTTCCTAACTTTAAAAAAAAAAAAAAAAGTATTTTTTGTTTTGTTTTGTCTTGTTTTATATTCACAACATGAACAAAAATCTGCCAGACAAGACTCCATAAAGACATGTTACATTACTTGATGCATACTTTGAGGTGTTATAGGTCAGGATATCTTTGACCTGCTGTTTTAGTTTTCATTGTGTTTGTACCTCTCCGTCTTTCCAGAGATGCCCACTTCATTCAGTCTGACACTGAATCCCTGTGGTGCCCTTTTCAGAGTTTTTCTGACATGTTCTTATCTCTCTTTTAGGTCTGGGGGAGGATCATCAGTTGGTGAAGATGCTGAAACATAAACTAACATCAAACCCATGTAAAAACCAGGGATTCGTCCTGGACGGGTTTCCAACAACAATTGAACAAGCCAAAGAGCTATTTTCAGGTGAGACACACACTCATGTTCTAAGTCACTACTACATGAATACAATCACATAAATGTGGATTTTTTGTGTTTTTCTCAGATGAAGATCATGGATCAGATGCTGAAACATCCCTGAGTTCTTCACACGGCAAGATTACCCCAGGTGTCTGCAGAGCACTATCAATATAGTTTTACCATATAACAAGACAGCATTACATGTTTCCTGTCAGTAGTTACCTTGTTAATACATTTTATTTATTTACAGAAGGAACTTTATTTAAAAGGTCCTGTTTTATAATATTCATGATGTCTCGTCATGTGTGCTCCAGAATTTGTCTTGGTCCTGGATGCCTCAGACTCCTTTCTGCAGGATCGGGTGATGAATCTGCCTGAGCGGCTTGTTCGGGAGCAAAACTACGAGCAGAATCACTTCCTGCAGCAACTGAACCAATACAGAGAGGGCAACATGGCGGAGGAAACTGTCATCAACTTCTTTGATGAGCTGGATGTCTCTCTCCTGTACCTGGGTAAAGTACAACTCCAAATGTTGACACTGAAAATGGTTCTTTGTTATAAAAAATCATTGTAGATTTGATGCCAAAAACACATTTCTAAAAAGTTCCAGGTTCATATTTCTCATCGTGTGTCCTCAGCTCTTCTTTCTCCAACTCTCTGTAGACCTGTAGACTGGCTTGAGAAATCCCAACTATACTTGAACATATCCAAGACTGTTTGTATGTACTTCTCAAAAAGAGCAAACACTGAGAGTGATCCCGACATTTTTATACAAGGTAAAACAATTGAGGTCGTACAAGAGTTTAAATACTTAGGAATCGCTCTTGACTCACAACTTCTTTTTAAACGACAAATAAAAATCACTGTAAATAGAATTAAGTTTAACTTGTCCAACTTTAGGTTTATTAGAAACAATCTAACTCTTGAGTCAGCAAAATTGTACTTTGATACTATGATCATGTCACACATGTCCTATTGCGTAAGAAGTTGGGCATCAGCCTGTAAAACGGCATTAAAGCTGATTGAAACAGTCTATAAACAACCCCTGAAAGTATTGGATAAAAAACCAAAAACATACCATCACTGTCATATATTAAAAAAACATGAGGGCCTAAGCTGGGACAAAACTGCTAAACACACCGACGCTATCTTGATTTACAAAATCTTCCATGGCAAAGCACCCCCTCCATTCCAAGAATTTGTGAAAAAAAACTCAAACAGGTCAACAAGAGCTGGTTCGAGAGGTGACCGTGTAGTTCCTTTTAGAAAGAGTGCCTTTAGTCAAGCCACTTTTTCTGTTCCTGCTTCTCACACCTGGAATTCAATACCAAACACAATGGGCTCTATTTTCGTGCCTCGCCGGAGACGTGCCGCAGGTCAGGTCCGCCGCACCGACAAGGCGTTCCCAAGCACATTTTGGTATTATGGTGAGCGGCGCAGCCCGGCGTAAGTATTCCCCCTCCCTAACTCAGCTCCTCCTAGTGGCGTAAGTCGTAGCGAGGGAGGACAGAGGGCGTGGAGTAGGTTTAACACAGCCGAGACCTGTTTTCACCAATCACATAAGTTCCTCTCCTTGCCTTTAAATCCGCCACCGGCGAGGCGTATTACTATTTTCGTGAAGTAGTCAAAGAGATCAAGAGATGTCTGAAGACAGTAATGCCACACGATGGCGACAGAAGGCAGCTCCTCAACAAGTGTCACTGTAAGCGCTGAATTTGGCGTCCTCCACACTCTCTCATATGAGCACAGACGGATTTGGTGTGTGTAATGTTGGACCCACTGGTAAGACAAACACCCTTTTCCACAAATAAAGACACTCACATAAAGTTGCATATATTCAAACCTCAAATGACAAAGGTGGGTTGTGTGCACAGATCACAACATAAACTCCAAAAAAGGCATTAAAATCGGAACCATCTGTGCGTAAATGACGCATCGCGCTCCGTGGCCTGGCTCTTTCTTTCATAGATGTTGGCATATAAAATAAATTTGGCCCACAAAACTGAGCATTATAATATTCGTATGTAGGCTTAAAGTAAATAACGCATCTGAAAAGAAAAGGAGGGAGACGAATTACATATCTTGTTAACTTCATGTGTGTTTATTTACTGGATATTTAATTTAATTTAATGCGGTTTCAGCTGTGTTGATTCGGTCAGGTTTAGTGTCCAAACGCGTGCCAAACGCGCTCATCAGATCAGATATAGATCAGAATATGTCTATATAGATCTAAATGTATGTGCTGACTCAGATTATTAGTTGTTGATGATTATTTATTGCACTGAAATGTGCCTGACACTGTAGAAACCTGCCGGTGAGGCATCGGTGACGTATGCCAATACGCCGCCAGTCTACCAAAATACTACTAGACCAGCTGCGTTCCGCCTGCGCTGAAAGCTGACCACTTTACACGCCACTGGCGAGCACGAAAATGTCACTGCGCCCACTGATTCTGTGAACCTCTGTGCGCCTCAGTCCACGAAAATACTGAACTGGCTGTACGCCGGGCTCCGCCAGACGAAAATACAACTGCGCGGGGTCCGCCACCCTCCGTCGCCTCACCGGCGTACACGAAAATAGAGCCCAATACGTGAACTCCCGACTCTGACCTCTTTTACCAAACATCTTAAAGCTTGGCTATAAGGGAAATACATACGGTCCCCTGACCCTTGGCCTGTATGTTTCATGATCCACTATACTTTTTATTGTTCTTGCTTTTATTTTTCATTTTCTGTCCTATTGTGTTTTCGAAGAGACACGTTTTCCCTCTCTGTAATTATTCCCCCTGCTCATACTGGCCATGAAGGCTAACTGTTCTACTTATTGTTACTGTAGTTTTATTGATTTCATTATCTTATGTCGTTGACATCAACCTGCTGAAGGGACTAAAGATGGAAATTAGCATATTTACATGTATATGTTCATTAATATGTATTGTCCCTGGTTTAAATAAATAAACTCAAACTCAAACCTTAGTGAAGCCAGCAGACCGGGTTTTGGAGTCTGACTATCAAATGTTGTCTCTCTCTTGACTGATAGAGGATTTCAACTGCTCAACAGTTCAGGGTCTCCTTTGTCCTATTTTTCATTTGTAGATGCAGTGATGCACTGTGTTGGTTTTTGGAGTGATCTAGAGTCCATGCAGTGATTTCCTCTCCAGAGTCCTGTCTGTTTTTAAAGCAGAGCTGCCTGAGGGCCTGAAGATCAGGACCATCCAGTCTTGGTTTTGCCCCTTGTCCCTTTAGTACAGAGATTTCTCCAGAGTCTCTGAATCTTGGAATGATACAATGTTCTGTAGATAATGAAATCCACTCATTCTTTCACATTTGACACTCAGGAACATTAAAAAAACTGTTCAACTATCAGCTCACACAGTCTCTCACAGACTCAGTTCACACAGTCTCTCACAGAGTGGTGAACCTCTTCCATCTTTCCTCCTAACAGACTCACTCTCTCTGAATGTCCTTTTTATACCCAGTCATGTTACTAACCTGTTGGAAATTAAGCTAACCATTAGTTGGAGATGTCCCTCCAGCATTTACATATATATATATATATATATATATATATATCTCAGTGGCGGGCCGTGCATTTCACACCTAGGCCTTCAGTAGTGCTCTGTCTGAATCAATCCAACCCTCAATAACTATTTTATGGCTATAAAACTTCTACTGCAGATACAGCTGCGACACACATAAAAAAGCATCAAAAATAACCTGATAAAATTGCAACATTTTACTCACCAAAAATCCTGATTATTTGTACACAAAATCCATCCTCCTTTCTGTCCTCAAGAAGATTTCAATTACTTTGTTGTGCAGATTATCCGTGCGTTTCAGTTCCATCAAGAAGTCCTTTTCTATCGCCATCGAAGCTAATGCTGAAAGTCGAGCCTGCCCTGTCGTATTTCTGGCATAGGTTTTAATTCATTTTAGGGCTGAGAATGTCCGTTCAACAGAAGCAGTGGACACGGGGATGGTCACCGCCAAACACACAAATGTGTACAGCTGCCCCATGCTCTCATTCAGATTTTTCTGCTGAAGGAAGTCAAGGAGATCAGTGGGAGATTTTCCTGCAAAATCATCCATGGCATACATTACGGTCAGTTCTGTTCTTAGCCGAGGCAGATCGAAAAGTGTTCCGTGGCTCTGTGCTAAGCTGGAAAAGGCTGTGTGCGGGAATTTTTTCTGGTATTCCCGAAACTTCTGGGGGTCGAGGAGGGTGACAAAGATCAGTTTTTCGTGGTCTTGAAATCTGGTCTGTGTCTGACAAATAATATTGTCCAGAATCCTGCCGTGGAGTTGGCGGTAGTGCGCGCGAGGATCTTGCGCTTGACCTCTTCGTGCGCTCGGAGCGCCCGCGGTGCGTTCAGTGGCCTAGTAGATTTCCTCGTATCGGCTCCTCTCTCGCTCAACGGTGTCACAAAACTCCTTTACCCTTGCCAGACAAAACTGTACATCCAGTTTTTTGTCCTGTAGTATTGAAAACAGCACATCTGAGTACTCAAAAATGCCATTAAATGTGTGAAGCAAAAAACAAAACTCAAAATCATCCAGACGTGCTTTAAATCCATCAGCACAGCGCACAGAGTCCTCATCATACTCGTCATGATGCTCCAGAATGTGATGAAACAGTTCCTTTAGAGCATTTCTCTTCTCAAAGACTGTATTGACCACTCTGGATGTGTACTGCCACCGTGTTGGTGCCACACGAGGGAGACGCCGCTGGCAGATTTCGTCCAGTAGTTGCGTGCGCGGAGGCGATCTAGAAAAAAATGCAGCAAGGCCATTGAGGTGGGCGAAAAAGATCTTGCATTCTTTAAGCTTTGAGGCCCCTTGAGTCAATACTAAATTGAGCCGATGTGCATAGCAGTGTATGAATAAAGCCAAAGGTGCTCTCTCCTTGACTTTAGCCTGCACCCCATTTAATCCAGAAGACATGACCGCTGCGCCGTCAAAACACTGTGCCACAACTTTACCCAGACATTCATTTTCCACCAAAAATCGGATGATAAGACCTGCAATGTCATCGGCTCGCTTCCCACTGGTAACATCTTCAAATCTGACAAACCACTCCTTGACACCTGTGTCCGTTACATAACGCAGAACCAGTGCGAGCTGCGCTGCGTTACTCGCGTCTGTCGTCTCATCCACCATAACAGAGACAAACGGTGCTTTATTAACTTCCCTTCTGATCTCTTCCCCCATCACTTCAGCAATAGCAGTGATCAGGTCGTTTTGTATTTTGCCCGACGTCCCACTAAACACTTTATTAGTGGTCAGGTGGTAATGTAAATCCGTGTTGCTCTCAGCAATGAGAGAAAGAAGCTCCACATAGTTTCCTCTGTTTTTGGATCCAGCGCTTTCATCGTGCCCCCGAAATGAAAGTTCCTGCTTGCCCAAAAAAATGACACAGTCTATCAGTCTTTTTAAGATTTCCCTATTTTTCTTCACCTTTTCGTTGTGGAGCTCCGTTTCCCTGCGCACTTGCTCGCTCAGCTGTAGATCCACTCTGGTTTCCCCAAAGGTTTTGGAAAGCACCGTTGCTTGTAAGTGTCCAGCAGTGCTTTGATGCCTCGTTGCTGCCTTGGTTAGGCAAGTCAAATTAACAAATCCAGTGTGGCTCCAAACACCATGTCGATCAGTGGCAAATAACAAGCAATCCCAGCAATACAATTTGCAACGTTCCTCGGAGCCTGTGAGCCAGGAGTACCGCTCGTAGTTAGTGGACTGAAAGTGACGGACAAACCCTTTTCCCGGTTGTGACAGGCTTGCTAGCTTCGGAGTTGCCCGACCTTGCTTAACGATGTCCAGCTTTTCTTGAAAAGTCCGTCTTGAAAATGGCTTTGACAGTAAATCTGCAACCAAATCCATTTCTTCTCCTCCTTCAGCCATTGTGGGTTGACAAAACAGCTATTAACTCAACACAAATATCTTCGCTCGTGCAGCTGGCTACCGATGCAGTTTGCTAGCTCTGGCTAGTACACGCTCTGACTATCCAATCAAAGGGTGTGAATACGCTGACGTTTCCGTATGCCTGCTAGAGGGCCTTGGTGTCGCAAACTCAAAATCTGATTGGTTGAAGCAACAGTTTGATCGACATTTATTTTATGCTACAGGGCCCGCAGAACTGATTGTGAAGGCCTCCAGACAGATTTCTTTGACCCTGGCAACAAATACTGGCTGAAATGTGATTGGTCAAATGCTTAAATATGAAAATACACGTCTGGAAGCAGCGCAACCAGGGGGTAGCAATGAAAGGGAGCGGACAGACCATTTGGAATTATTTAATACATATTCATGAACAAAATATAATTAACATCAGTCTGTGATTCAGATATTTTTAGGCCAGCAGAGAAGGCCTTGCAGGCCCTGACGGCCCACCACTGATATATATATATATATACACATATGTATACATATATATATATATATATATATATATATATAGTATATATATTTTTTTTTTTAAGCGTTAAACAGCTTTCTACCTTTTTGGTTGTTCCTCTATAAGAACTTTTTAGAAATGTGATACTAACACTGAGCTTAAAATCCTTTTTTCTTCAAACAATGGCATGTTTAGTCTTATATTTGATATGTTACCTATGTTACCTTTATTGAATCCAATAAAGGGTTAAAATGTCTGTCAACATTTTACAATTTCCCAAATCTTAGGATTGTAAACCTTGTGCACGCACTGTCTTATAGCAAATCTAAAATGCATTCAGGTAGTTTTCCCTTCATCAAACTTTTACCTCTTTTTCTTCCTCTTCAGACGTCACCAGCAGCAGTGAACCTGACAGTCTGCAGCTGATAGAGAAGATCTTTGATACGCTTGGACCACCCAGGAACTACGGTCGCACCATCCAGGAGGTGGAAGAGGAGGAGAGGAGGGATGCTGAGGAGAGGATGAGGAGGGAGGATCAGGAGAGAGCTGAGGAGGAGAGGAGGGAGGAGGAGGAGGCCAGACAAAGAAATGCACGCTGGGAAGAGTGGGTATGTACTGAGAGGGAGGTCATTATGAGATGAGACAGACAAAAAGACAGCAGAAAAAGCATTTACAAAGTTGGCCCCTTTCTTTTAAAGCTATTGGTCTCTTTCTCAGTGTGTAGTTATCTCTGAGAAGTCTGCTAGAATCTGCAACAGTCAAGGGAGAAGAAGAAACATTGTCTATTCATAGACATATAGAAAATTAAAGAAGCAGTAAATTGACAACTTTTGGCCACATAAACTAGAAGTACAAAAACTCTTCCGACACCCGCAGGTCTTCAGATCAGCTGAAAACCAGCAAAAATAAGGAGATAGTGTCTGCTCTAATCTTACCTCCCAACGTGAACATTCACTATCAGCCTCTTTAAGCGCCAGAGCTCCTACGAAATCAAATATTCAAAACAACTAAAGATTCAAGACAATTCAGGAAAACAGCTGCCTAAGTAACTCTGACTTTATTTAAACTCAGGTGGTACCAGATTGAACAGGCAGAGGTGGAAAAACACCAAAACAAACATGGGGAGTGCCCCGGAAAGCCCACGCCAGAATTAAACCAAGTGTCTCTGTAATATATACCTGCAAACATGATCAAAGTTTGGTGATACCTGCTGATGGCACATCTGCTGTTTTTCACCTTGTACCGGGTGTTTCAGACTAAACGTTTGGAGGAGTCAAGGCAGCAGGAGGAAGAGCTGCTAGAGCTCGAGTCAGTCTCGATGAGGACTTACCTGATGGAACAAGTGATCCCAACTCTGAACCAAGGCCTGTTGGAGTGCTGCACCACCCAACCTCATGACCCTGTGGACTTCCTGGTACTCCACTGAACACACGTTATCACTTGCCTCTTTACATCTGATCTCACTTGAGTCTGATTCTGATCACCTTCTTCATTTTGTCTCATTACAGGCTGAGTTCCTCCTAAAAAACAACCCATCTAACTCCTGAGCGAGTCATTGTTGAGTGTATTAGAGACATTTTTCACGTTTCATCTTAATTAAACACCCCCTCCTGGACTATTCAGACCTGTCATGTGTTTCTCTGTCCCTCTGTTCATGCTGGCATGTTGATTAGGTCTGATTTGTCTCCGTCCCCTGTTGGATTTTGTCCTTTTTTCTCTCAGCTCAGTTTGGGCTCTCCTGTGCCGGCTGTTACTTAAAATCACCCTGAAACAGCGATGAAAGTGAGCATGAAGCCAGAAGCTCATTAGGAAGTTAATTTGCGTAATGAACTCTGTAAAGTGAAAGTAGACACACTCGGGTCATAATAACTGTGATTTGGCTGTAAATATGAGGAGGAACAAACGTTACTAACAGCAGCTCGTTTGAGCCTCTCTCATGTGGACGCTCGTGACTCCAAAGTGAACATGATTGGTTTGACTATACAGCAAATTATTTCAATGAACACCCTGAATCACCACACGGGGAAATTTGTTTGGTTTATTTGGGAAATATTGTGATGGGAGCTGAAAGATAATTTGACTGAACCATCTGTGAGTCCAGGTACAAACTCAGAGCACAGCTATCCTCTCAGTGACACAGAAGGACAGGAAAGGCAGAAGTATGAAGTCCTCACAGCCTCTGAACTCAAACATGTTCTGATGAAGTCTGAATATGGAGCAACATCTTCTTCGTGTTAAACTTGATTCTTTGCTCAAATGTAAAATCTATCTACTCAGTTTTACCAAATTCATCACGTACGTTAAGGATGACATAACATGGCCTTGACACCTGTGTCCGTTACATAACGCAGAACCAGTGCGAGCTGCGCTGCGTTACTCGCGTCTGTCGTCTCATCCACCATAACAGAGACAAACGGTGCTTTATTAACTTCCCTTCTGATCTCTTCCCCCATCACTTCAGCAATAGCAGTGATCAGGTCGTTTTGTATTTTGCCCGACGTCCCACTAAACACTTTATTAGTGGTCAGGTGGTAATGTAAATCCGTGTTGCTCTCAGCAATGAGAGAAAGAAGCTCCACATAGTTTCCTCTGTTTTTGGATCCAGCGCTTTCATCGTGCCCCCGAAATGAAAGTTCCTGCTTGCCCAAAAAAATGACACAGTCTATCAGTCTTTTTAAGATTTCCCTATTTTTCTTCACCTTTTCGTTGTGGAGCTCCGTTTCCCTGCGCACTTGCTCGCTCAGCTGTAGATCCACTCTGGTTTCCCCAAAGGTTTTGGAAAGCACCGTTGCTTGTAAGTGTCCAGCAGTGCTTTGATGCCTCGTTGCTGCCTTGGTTAGGCAAGTCAAATTAACAAATCCAGTGTGGCTCCAAACACCATGTCGATCAGTGGCAAATAACAAGCAATCCCAGCAATACAATTTGCAACGTTCCTCGGAGCCTGTGAGCCAGGAGTACCGCTCGTAGTTAGTGGACTGAAAGTGACGGACAAACCCTTTTCCCGGTTGTGACAGGCTTGCTAGCTTCGGAGTTGCCCGACCTTGCTTAACGATGTCCAGCTTTTCTTGAAAAGTCCGTCTTGAAAATGGCTTTGACAGTAAATCTGCAACCAAATCCATTTCTTCTCCTCCTTCAGCCATTGTGGGTTGACAAAACAGCTATTAACTCAACACAAATATCTTCGCTCGTGCAGCTGGCTACCGATGCAGTTTGCTAGCTCTGGCTAGTACACGCTCTGACTATCCAATCAAAGGGTGTGAATACGCTGACGTTTCCGTATGCCTGCTAGAGGGCCTTGGTGTCGCAAACTCAAAATCTGATTGGTTGAAGCAACAGTTTGATCGACATTTATTTTATGCTACAGGGCCCGCAGAACTGATTGTGAAGGCCTCCAGACAGATTTCTTTGACCCTGGCAACAAATACTGGCTGAAATGTGATTGGTCAAATGCTTAAATATGAAAATACACGTCTGGAAGCAGCGCAACCAGGGGGGTAGCAATGAAAGGGAGCGGACAGACCATTTGGAATTATTTAATACATATTCATGAACAAAATATAATTAACATCAGTCTGTGATTCAGATATTTTTAGGCCAGCAGAGAAGGCCTTGCAGGCCCTGACGGCCCACCACTGATATATATATATATATACACATATGTATACATATATATATATATATATATATATATATACAGTATATATATTTTTTTTAAGCGTTAAACAGCTTTCTACCTTTTTGGTTGTTCCTCTATAAGAACTTTTTAGAAATGTGATACTAACACTGAGCTTAAAATCCTTTTTTCTTCAAACAATGGCATGTTTAGTCTTATATTTGATATGTTACCTATGTTACCTTTATTGAATCCAATAAAGGGTTAAAATGTCTGTCAACATTTTACAATTTCCCAAATCTTAGGATTGTAAACCTTGTGCACGCACTGTCTTATAGCAAATCTAAAATGCATTCAGGTAGTTTTCCCTTCATCAAACTTTTACCTCTTTTTCTTCCTCTTCAGACGTCACCAGCAGCAGTGAACCTGACAGTCTGCAGCTGATAGAGAAGATCTTTGATACGCTTGGACCACCCAGGAACTACGGTCGCACCATCCAGGAGGTGGAAGAGGAGGAGAGGAGGGATGCTGAGGAGAGGATGAGGAGGGAGGATCAGGAGAGAGCTGAGGAGGAGAGGAGGGAGGAGGAGGAGGCCAGACAAAGAAATGCACGCTGGGAAGAGTGGGTATGTACTGAGAGGGAGGTCATTATGAGATGAGACAGACAAAAAGACAGCAGAAAAAGCATTTACAAAGTTGGCCCCTTTCTTTTAAAGCTATTGGTCTCTTTCTCAGTGTGTAGTTATCTCTGAGAAGTCTGCTAGAATCTGCAACAGTCAAGGGAGAAGAAGAAACATTGTCTATTCATAGACATATAGAAAATTAAAGAAGCAGTAAATTGACAACTTTTGGCCACATAAACTAGAAGTACAAAAACTCTTCCGACACCCGCAGGTCTTCAGATCAGCTGAAAACCAGCAAAAATAAGGAGATAGTGTCTGCTCTAATCTTACCTCCCAACGTGAACATTCACTATCAGCCTCTTTAAGCGCCAGAGCTCCTACGAAATCAAATATTCAAAACAACTAAAGATTCAAGACAATTCAGGAAAACAGCTGCCTAAGTAACTCTGACTTTATTTAAACTCAGGTGGTACCAGATTGAACAGGCAGAGGTGGAAAAACACCAAAACAAACATGGGGAGTGCCCCGGAAAGCCCACGCCAGAATTAAACCAAGTGTCTCTGTAATATATACCTGCAAACATGATCAAAGTTTGGTGATACCTGCTGATGGCACATCTGCTGTTTTTCACCTTGTACCGGGTGTTTCAGACTAAACGTTTGGAGGAGTCAAGGCAGCAGGAGGAAGAGCTGCTAGAGCTCGAGTCAGTCTCGATGAGGACTTACCTGATGGAACAAGTGATCCCAACTCTGAACCAAGGCCTGTTGGAGTGCTGCACCACCCAACCTCATGACCCTGTGGACTTCCTGGTACTCCACTGAACACACGTTATCACTTGCCTCTTTACATCTGATCTCACTTGAGTCTGATTCTGATCACCTTCTTCATTTTGTCTCATTACAGGCTGAGTTCCTCCTAAAAAACAACCCATCTAACTCCTGAGCGAGTCATTGTTGAGTGTATTAGAGACATTTTTCACGTTTCATCTTAATTAAACACCCCCTCCTGGACTATTCAGACCTGTCATGTGTTTCTCTGTCCCTCTGTTCATGCTGGCATGTTGATTAGGTCTGATTTGTCTCCGTCCCCTGTTGGATTTTGTCCTTTTTTCTCTCAGCTCAGTTTGGGCTCTCCTGTGCCGGCTGTTACTTAAAATCACCCTGAAACAGCGATGAAAGTGAGCATGAAGCCAGAAGCTCATTAGGAAGTTAATTTGCGTAATGAACTCTGTAAAGTGAAAGTAGACACACTCGGGTCATAATAACTGTGATTTGGCTGTAAATATGAGGAGGAACAAACGTTACTAACAGCAGCTCGTTTGAGCCTCTCTCATGTGGACGCTCGTGACTCCAAAGTGAACATGATTGGTTTGACTATACAGCAAATTATTTCAATGAACACCCTGAATCACCACACGGGGAAATTTGTTTGGTTTATTTGGGAAATATTGTGATGGGAGCTGAAAGATAATTTGACTGAACCATCTGTGAGTCCAGGTACAAACTCAGAGCACAGCTATCCTCTCAGTGACACAGAAGGACAGGAAAGGCAGAAGTATGAAGTCCTCACAGCCTCTGAACTCAAACATGTTCTGATGAAGTCTGAATATGGAGCAACATCTTCTTCGTGTTAAACTTGATTCTTTGCTCAAATGTAAAATCTATCTACTCAGTTTTACCAAATTCATCACGTACGTTAAGGATGACATAGAAAAACCCCTGTAAACCATTTAACATCTTTGAAAAGATAAGTTATTAAATTCAACGCTTGGATTTTGTTTTGATCAGTCCAGTTTGCCGAGAGCTCAATTTTCAGTGTGTCACCACCAGGGGGCAGTCTGAGATCAGCTATTATCTGTGGAGCATGAGCCCGACACTCAGGAGGTTTCTGTGTTTCCTGCTCCAGTATGACAACTGTTTATTTTTTAAGGATTCAAAGCAGTATCATTGAAATGTGTCTGGAATTAAAATAAAAGAAAACACCCAAGATGTGAAGATCCAGAAACTTTGAGCTCCTCTAAATCCCGTTTGAATAGAGTCATGTTGCCGTCAACCTTCTGAGGACTGCCTTCAACGAAAAATGTAGAGGCTTTCTTGAACTATTTGAAGCTGCAGGTAAAAGTAACAGCAAATGTTAATGAACAGCTTTAACTCTCTAAACAGGGTCTACTCAGCAGAAAGACAAGTGACCCAACATCCAACACAGACAGAGAGCCCAGGGGCCTATTCTACGAAACAAGTTCATCCTAGCGAGGTAGTCTTGGAGCTACCTCGCTCAACTTAGCACGGTAGCCAGTGGTCTCGCTAAACGGTCTTACGACGCTGGTTATCAACCTCGTAAGTGGATCCAGCTTTGCTATGAGCGCGTGCACGCATGTAAGGCGGAGCGAGCAGGAGACGATCATGAGAAAGTATGAAGAATTCAAATCTATCATAAACCTCAAAAGCAACAACACCGTCGCCGCTGCAAAAGCATGGAAGGAATGGTGGCAGAAAATTGCAGACAGTCTCAATGCCCAAGTATTGTGCGCAAAAAATCTTTGATGCCATTATCACCCTGAAATAGCACTGTTCAACATGCGCTTTTAACATGCACCAGACATGTCTAATTCATTTTCAAGATGAATTCATTCATTTGTTCATTCCTATCGTGTTTACATGTTTTGTGTGATATGTCGGCCATATGAGCCTTTCATAAAGGTGGTCATCCGGAAAAGTAAGTGGGTCCGTGCAGTCCCTGAAAACTCTCGCGCCCGAGTGCTCCTCGGACAATGCGAGCACCAAGAACTATAGGATCCTCCAAGAACGGACAAGCCATTTTTCGAGAGAGGTCATTGGTCAGTGGGCGGGTTTTTATACTCAGTGAGTTCAATCTGGAACCTAACCTGCCCCGCAGCAGGTTAGCCGTTCAGCGTACGTTGCCATGGAGACTAGCCTCGCTAAGAAGTGAACCCGTGTCGTATAACAGGAAACCCCAAACTTACCCTCAAAGTTACCTTGCTAAGCAGTAATCCTGCTTCGTAGAATAGGCCCCAGGTCAGAACAAAAATTTCTGTGCCAGGCAAGACTTCAGAGTAAGAAACATGGCCGACTTTTAGAGCTTACTCTCAAAGCTGCTTAGCTTCCAGCTACATCCACTGCATCTTCTTTATCCTTCCCTCACACATGAGGATCTTCAATAGTGTAACATGTTTGATATTTAGGGTTTTAAGTTAGGTCAGCTCATAATACCCACATGAATCACCTTTTACAAACCTCACACCACAGGAAAATCTTTACAGCCATCAGATGATTAGGCCTTTGCTTATTGATGGTAGATTATTATATACCCCACGTAACTTTAAAAGAATATTGTATGTATTAGTGACATTTCAGTCCTTGGACTTCATAAGGCAATTAGAAAACAAACCTTCTAACTAAGGTCTGGGACTAAAATTCTGCTGCCAAATGAATAAATAAACCTTTATTATTGTTATTATTATTGTTGTTGTTGTTATTGTAAATAATTAAAAATACATAAATAGTAATAATAACATTATTATTATTATAAATAGTCGTTTGCCTAGAGAACTTTTTTTTACTGAGAATTTCAAGGAGCTTAAAGCTCCTGTGAGGAATTTGTGTCAATTCTTTGTCCCACTGTGGAAAAAGCAGTCTGTAAAATTTCATCCTCCTGACTTTGCACAGACAGGTATTACATTTCCTGTGAATAATTTTTTGTTTTATGTGGAAAACTCTCACAGGAGCTAAAGTAGAACTAGACAAAGACTCTTTGCAGAGTCTTTGGAAGTCTTTGCAGAGTAAATTCACCTGCAAGTATTCAGACAAAAATCAGACGTGTTGTATGACACCGGCACATTTCTCAGTCTTGCTGCATGTTTTCTCTGTTTCTCCTGAAATGAACTCAGAGTAATTGCACTGATGCATGTGTGTCTGTTGTCTTGGTTCATAAATGTACTTCCACGCTGCAGCAACAGATCACATGACAAAGAGCACCTTCAAGGTTTGCTTTATCTGATTTATGTCCCTCTATCACATTTAATAGAAACCTGGAGCTGCCGTAAAGCCGAGTGTGTGGGAGAGAGCGCGGCGGCATCTGGACTGAATCCACACACTCTGATGCTGGTCACTGTTCCCTAACTCCCCTAATCCGGGGGGGAATCACACACACACACACACACACACACACACACACACACACACTGTAAACTAAAAACTCATGGACAAAAACACACTTCAGGGGACAAACACTGGGACACACACACTCACACACAGCCTGCTCAGGGAGTGTGTTTTGTTGCTTAGGAACAGTTTGCCTTGCATCTCAGTGGGGGGTCTCCTTTTGAATATCATTACCCCCCTTCTCCTTCCTCCTCGAATGAGGAGGACGACACATTTTTCTTTTCTGCCAATATTTATCTTCGACTGGCCTCCCTCTCCAGAGGCCCGCACAAACGTTTTCATTGATTACAGGCAGATTCTGGCATCAGATGCCAAACCTCTTTTAATGTAAATTTATCAAAACAGCGCCGAGGCAGGTGTCAAGGTGAGGAGCAGCTTTTCGTCAGGAGGAGAGAAGGACAGAGTGAAGGTGTGAGCCTCACCTGAAGATAAACAGCAGCATGAAAATCCTCCTCATTCAGATAGACAAACAAACACTAAAACAAACAACAAAAAAAACAGACAATCATCTCTGAGGGCTCAAACCTCGAAACAACATTCAGAGCAGCTTCTCTCGATCAGCTGACCTGTCAAGGTGAAGGTTAATGTGAGGGCAGCCTGAAACAGACAGAATAGTCTGCTGTCAGTATAGAAATAGAACAGATAGAGCTGTTCTGAATAGACTCCTTTGGTTTTGTGTATTTAAGTGTCAGTTCTGTGATCTCGATGATCTGTGTGCCTGCATTTGGCACATGTGATCACTTTGGATTCTTTTCATTAATAATTTTTATTCTATGAAACTTTTAAAAACTTTTGAAAAGCCAAAAACATCAACTTTGAGGCCCACTGCCTTGAGCTGGGTGGTTGTGTAATAATCATGGTGCTCACATATTCAGGTCAGCATGGTACATTGTGTTCTGTAAGACTGTAGTTCACTGCCAGGAGTGATAGACAAGGTTAAAACTCCTCTCTTTTTTTCTTCACTGTTTTGTTAATTTGGACAGATTAAGAATCTCTCAGCTGCCTGAAAATATTAGCGGCTCATCACAGGACTCAGCAAATACACATCTACAAACTTTAAAGAAACCAGTGGATAACTTTTGTCCGGACTAACCAAACAATAAATGAACTCGCTGACCACAGGGCAGTCCAGGCTGAACCCAGGCTACCCACTAAAAGAGGTTTATCCTTAGCTGAGTGTCATCACCAGTTTAGCACATTAAAGGTGATCAAATTAGACTGGTCTGAGTTCAGGTTTGTGTTCAGGTCTTCATCAGTGGGTTCACAGCTCCATCCAGCAGCACTGGGGTCGCTCTAAACTCTGCCTCATGTTCACGTCTCCAGCAGCTCCTCAGCCTTTATTAGTCCTGTCCTCTGTTTCCTGAGATTTGGCACCCACTCAAGAGCCCTGCAGACGTCCTCTCCTCTTCCTCCTCCTCCTGGTTTCCTCAGCAATAATCTGACGCCTCTCATTCCAACAAACAGCCTGACTCCAGAGAGGAAGAGGGGCAGGCTGCTTCCTCCTCTTCACTAATGAGGACCAGCAGCCTCTTGGCTGTCTTCGTCTTTAGACTCTTCAACCTATACTGTCAACTCTTCTTACTTAAGGTGTTCATTTGGATAGTCATGGTCCCCAGAGGATGTCTCACATTATTTTTGTCCTCTTCTTGACCCATTCCACAAACTTTGCTGAAGACAGACCTTCGTCAGATCTGTCGAACAGACGGATCTTCATGATTTTGCACTGCTTCGCTTCATCTTGAGGCTTCCAAACCAGCAGGGGGCGCTGTGTGCCTTTGACTCCTCTTGTCATCATCATGATATCTCTTTTGTTTAAAGCTGAATGGCAGCAGGTGAA